GATTTCAACACTTTATGAAATCTAGCCACCTTAATCATCACACCACTCCTGGTCCCCTAACACCTTGTAATCTTAAAGGTTGTGCTCTTATTGAGTCTCTTGAGAAAAATATTTTTTAGGTGGTCAGTCTGGAGCTGTTAGCCCACCTGCATGTTGTACTGTGTATGTAAGAATGGATTCCTCAATATTTGTGTAAGAAACAATCCTGATGCAATCCCTGCGTTCTTTCCAAAGGCCAGCTTGTGAAAGATGAGTGAAAAACAGGCAGAGCAGCCTTCAGAATAGTCTTGTAAATTCTCTAAATTTGTTTGGAGATAGCTAAAGCAAGGATGAGGCTCCACGCATTTGCACGGACAGACTGATTTTTCATGTGGGACACGCGAGCCTGTAGAGTGATGAAAACCTTGGCGAGACTTCATGGCAATTTTCTTTGATGTGATACTCTTTGTTATCTGCATCGTCCTTTCTGCTTGACCAGTTGTTGGAGGCAACTATGAGGGCAGTTCAAATAATCCCTTAGTTCGTAGATTGCCTAATAGCAACTGAGACAACCTAATTTGTTCATTCTGTCTCAACATTAGAAACCATTTTTTGTGACCATTTGTTGGTGCAAGTAACTATAATACAACTGTGATTGTGCCATAAAAATCTGTGTTGTGGCTGAAAGCTCAGAGCCAAAGGTAATTATTTTATTTTCCACCCCTTTTAATTATACTCTTAGAGGCTATTCTGAAAGTGGGTGAGGAGGGGTCAGCAGGTGGTATAATAGTTGGGGTGCTGGACTCCCACATGGCTGACTGTGGTTTGAATTCCAGACTTGGTGGTTTTCTTTCTCACTTTCCCTCTCTTTTTCTGTGTCTCTCTCTGGTCAAATTGAAATAAGTAAATAAATAGCAATGATGAATAAAATCATTCTTTTTTTAAAAAACGCATGAGGAATGGAATATACTGATCTTTATCTGTTCACTCTTTCTTGGTTTCTTTTTGTCTATAAATCTTTAGTGCTTAGTTCTCTTGCCTCTTTCTTGTGTTCCTTCTCCTGGGTTTGGGAGCATTACAGGACACTGTCCTGGAATCTGGGTTACTAAAAGCAATATCCCTGACTTGGAATTCTTCTCTCCCACTAAGGAACTGACACCTGACTCCAGGTGATTCAGGCTGAGATTCTCCTTGTCATTCCTATCAGAATGTTCAAGTCCTGTTTATCCTATTCCATCGGATTGGTATAATAGTTGGGGTGCTGGACTCCCACATGGCTGACTGTGGTTTGAATTCCAGACTTGGTGGTTTTCTTTCTCACTTTCCCTCTCTTTTTCTGTGTCTCTCTCTGGTCAAATTGAAATAAGTAAATAAATAGCAATGATGAATAAAATCATTCTTTTTTTAAAAAACGCATGAGGAATGGAATATACTGATCTTTATCTGTTCACTCTTTCTTGGTTTCTTTTTGTCTATAAATCTTTAGTGCTTAGTTCTCTTGCCTCTTTCTTGTGTTCCTTCTCCTGGGTTTGGGAGCATTACAGGACACTGTCCTGGAATCTGGGTTACTAAAAGCAATATCCCTGACTTGGAATTCTTCTCTCCCACTAAGGAACTGACACCTGACTCCAGGTGATTCAGGCTGAGATTCTCCTTGTCATTCCTATCAGAATGTTCAAGTCCTGTTTATCCTATTCCATCGGATTTCACTAATCAGTCTCACTATGGCTTCTCTCTGTCCACAAGCCCCAAACATACTTATTTTCATAGGCCAGAAGGCAACTTGTAATTCCTGTCATTATAATTGTAAACATTCTAGGACTTCTTTCCTTTGTTTTGTTCTATTTTGTAGACGACATTGTCCTTTAAGAATGAACCTTTGCTTTCTCAGCACTGGTTTCTTAATGTGAAGCAGAAGAAAGTGTGGCTCGTGTTTGTAGAGTCCTGGCACAAATCCAGAACTCAATATCTACTTGATATTCCAGAATGCAACCCTGAGCTTGTGAATTTAATACCATGGAGCAGCATTTTTCTAGTGGACTATAAAATAACTCAGCGGTAGTTCACATTTATTGAACAAAAGTACGGTAAAAAGTGTGTAGCTTATAAGCCCTAAATAGGGGTGCTCAGGGTCTTTATTTGGTGGGACATTTGTAGGCTCTCAAAATGTTCCTGTGGTTTTCGGTTGGGACCTTTTCGGAGGGACTTGGTATAGCCCACTGGGGTTATACCACCAACCTGAGGTCTTTTTTTACTTTTCTCACAGACTTGGTTGGTTTTCAGCTTTTCCCCTTATGTACTTTTTAGTTATCAAGTAAATTCATTATATTTTAGGATATTTATTGACAACTTGATGAGGTCATATTATCAGTTTATTGAACACAGATTCCTAATGGAATGAATCACTTTTATCCCAAGACACTCTTAAAAGCTGCTGGGCTGGCCACACTGCAGTCCCTTTTCCTTCATCTCTCTCTTCTTTTGGGATTTTGAGCATGCATACACATTCACTCGGCGTGTTTCTCAAGCCACCAAATCCCAAACTCAAATCTCATAGTTGGCACTGTGGAATCCAGCCATCTTAACCACCTGCCTAAGGGCTGGCCTCATCCTGTATTTCTAAATGATGGAATCACCTTTGCATTAGGTAGTTCCTTTTTTTTTTACTTATACACTTCATAGACATAAATGAAGAAATGAATAGAATGTCTGGATAGTATGAACCATAAACCTAAACTTTTCATTTGTGAGAATTTATAGTTTGAAACATAATGTAAATGATTTAAATTATAACCACTTCCATGCGTGATTATTTATTAAAACAAAAATATGCCTGCATAGATTTTTAGTTTTATGTAGGTATAACAGAAGTTAAGGCAGAGAAAGATGAGCCCATAGATTATATGACACAATATTCCTTTTCTTTAAACAAAAAAAAAGCAAAAAGCTTAGCAACAGTAGCTAAGCAACATGTAAAAAAATACATTGATTTTGAAGAAAGAGACTTAGCCATTGCTATATAAAAGACTTAGCAATTTTAGACTATTATTATTTAAGATTGATGTGTTATATATTATTAATACATTGCTGTGTTAGTCATTTAGTACTTACGTTAGCCAAAAGTCTAAGTTTATTATCTAAGTTAATGAAAGAAAAAAGATTCCATCAGAATAAAATATCATTTTAGGAGATGTTTCATAATATCCATGTTCGGTCTAGAACAATATATTCTAAAAGTACAAATTTTTTTAGCTCATATGGACTGAGTTTCTTTGTTTTTATAAAATTAAAATACATATTTTTATAATTTTAGTTACAAGTTTGAAATAGCTCTATATGAAATTACAATTAAGAAAAGTATGTAGTATGAAAATTATCCTGGTTTCCTAGAAAGTCTTTGAGCTAGTCTGTTTTATTTTAAAAAGAGAACTTTCATATAATAATTATTCTTTTTTTTTTCTTTTTGAAGTTTTTCCATAGGGCGAGAGTGCTGGTTGGAGAGAGAGAGAGGCAATAAGGAAAGGGAGAAATCTTTCCCCTGGGGACATGTCCATCCCACAACTCCTTATCCTCTATTCTCTTGATATTTTGGGCATGCACACACACGTTCCTGTGATTTTTCAAGCCGGACTCAAACGATGGTTGGCGATATGAGAGTCCCGTGCCGTAACCACCATGTTACCTGCTGGCCCCATGATTATTCTTTTGAAACAACTTTGGTAATTTTGCTAAGCAGGCTAGATCACATCTCTTATACATATAAGTCATCCTGAAAATGAATAATTTTATTAATAATGTATTATTTTTGGCCCAACTGTGGTGGTGCAGGTGGTAGGACTTGGCAATGCTGGAAGCCCTATGAAAGACCAGGGGTTAGGATGCTGGGTGGACCTGAACATGCTGGAAATGATATGCCTAAGGATCCTGGCTGGCTGGAGATCTGGGGTGTGGTGGGTGGCCTAAAGTCACCTTGTCAAGAGTGCCTGTTTGCCACCAAGAAATAAACTTTAAAATGTGTATTACTTTTAAAAGACATTTAATAAGCTTATGTACTCTATGTATTTACTAGTTCATGCAATGCTTTTTAAAAAATGCAAAGTTGATTTAATAGGTGATATTTTCTTTTTCTTTTTTTTGGCCCAACAATTTTTTTATTTTCAAAAACGACTTTATTCATGACACATATTTTAAAAAAAATTCCCACCCCTGGAAATGAGCTTTAAAAAAATAAACAAAATCCACCTCCCACCTCCCTGTTTCCACTTCCTCCCATCCCCTCCAAATAAAAGGGAAAAAAAGCAAAGGAAAAACAAAACAAAACAAAAAACTGAAAAGCAAAAAACACCCCAAAACCCCCAAAACAAGGTAGTGCATTTCCCCAAGGGGAAGGGGAATTTACACTGGAGCCGCTGGGAGCGGAATGGAGATCTTCGGCTACAGAAACCTACAAAGAAAGACACTCAAAACAGAAAAAGAAACACAAAGAAAACAAAATAGATCACCAGCCAATCTGGAGGGGCAGGGAGCTGGCAAAGAGGGGTGGGGTAGGTGGTAGACCTGGCAGGACAGAAGCAGGCAGGAGGGGACTGTGAAATGCAGGGAGAAGATGGAGGGAAGGTAACAAGCAGAACAGTTTGGTGTCCTTCCAGAGCCCTGGGTAAAAAAAACTAAAAACCAAAACAAAACAAAAAACAAAAAACCTACCACCCATGCCCACCTACCCTTGAGCAGCCCCCAAGGGAGTGAAGTGGGGCAGGGAAACGTGGGGAACAGCTTGTGCAGTTGAGACCTGTCCATGATGAATCCCCAGTGAATAAACAGCCCCCTGCCCCACTCCCTGGGCCTTCCCCTACTCCCAAAGCAGATCCCTCCTCAGCAGTTATGGGATTCTCCCCCCTTCCACAGTATATCTTTTTTTAAAATATATATATATATTTTTTTTTTTCCATCAAGGTCATCTTCTTTTTCTTTCTTTTTTTTTAATTCTTTTTTTTTTTTTCCCCTCTCTCTCCTCCTAATACCTAATACACACTCTTTTTAGTAAGGGGAATACCATGATGTCGCTCGAGCCCGGCCCCTGTAGACACGACCCCGGGGCCTGCTGTTAAAACCATTGTAGGATCGAGAGCGGAAGCTGTTGTAATTGGTGGTCTGGGCACGGTAGCGGGCTCGTGGGAAACCTTGGTCTGTTGTACTGATGCCTGGTCTGTTGGTTCATTTTGGGATCACCTTTATTTGTCTTCCTCTAAACAAGGATTCATCTAAGGCCAGGGATGTCCTCACTGACTTTGAGAACTCTATATACGCAAACCCTTTAGGATGGCCACTAAATTTGTCACAGAGTATGGTAACACGATTGACTGAACCACAGCCATGAAAGTGTGCTTCCAGCTCTTCTGCTGTTGCACCATCGTCAACATTGCCAACATAGATGGAACAGGCATCAGCTTCCATCTTCTCCTCAATGGACATAATCACAGGGCCAGCATTGCCTGGAGGTGGGCTCATATTCATCTGCTTCTCTACCTCGTTCTGTAGCTCCTTTAGCTTCTCAGCTTCTTCCTCCATCTCCCTGACTCGAGCTTTGATCGCTTCCAGCTCCGGGTCCTCAATAGCGCCGTCCCCCCGGTCGCCCTCGACCAGTCCTGGCTCTTCCTCCTCTTCCTGGCTGCCGGGGGCTCCCGAGCCAGGCTCAGGGCCGGGAGCTCCCGGGGTTGCGCTGGGCCGGGGCGCCTCCTCTTCGGGCTCGGGCTCGGGCTCCGAGTCCGGCTCCAGCAGCAGCTCCTCAGGCTCCAGTTCCTCAGACTCCAGGTCGTTCCCATAGTCCCCTGCGTCCCCCGGGGGGCCCCTCCTGACCTCCCCACCAGCCCCAGGCACAAGATGGCGCCGCCGCCGGGGCCCGGAGCTCCGACCGCCCGCAGCTCCCGCTGCTGGTGATATTTTCTTTTCTATATAAACAAAGTGAGCAGTTATGTGATTTGCCAAGACTGATGAGCCACTGGAGAATGAAATAATAGAACTGCGACAGTTGACCACCTTATTTGTAGGACAGACCCCTCTGTGCTTTTGACTGTCTAGACTGGTTTCATTATGAAAGAGGGAGAAGTCATCTTCATAATAAAAGAAAAAGTTGGAGTTGCTAGAACAATTCAGGAGGAAGGTTGGAAAGATTTGCAAGGGGCCTGAGAACTGGGTAGAAGTTTCATATTTCCTCAGGGTCTTTAAACGTAAATAATTTATATTAAATTTCTAAAACGATTAGTGTGACTGCATTTTTTTGTAAAATCCGAGCTTTTCATCATCTTGATTTACCTGGAGTATTTATTATCCAGTCAGTAAGTCATTAGTGAAAAGCTACTATACAAGGAAGTCGTTTGGTGGTAGGACATAATGACAAATGACACTCATTCCTTACCCTTACAGAGATTAAAATCTGTGTGGTCAGAAGACTACAGCCCAGGGACCAGCAGTTGGTGTAATGGCTATGTCACTGGACTCCCATGTAGCTGACTGTGATTCGAGTCCCGGACCTAGAGGCTTAAACTCACACCGGGTGCGGGTGCGTGTGGGTGCGTGCTCAAGATCCTAGAGCAGAGTGGAGGAGAAGGGATTGCGGCATGGCCATCTGCCAGGGTCCAGTCTCGGCGGGGGTGGGTTGACTGGTCGGAGGCAATCCTGGAGAAGAAGACTAAGGCCTGGGTGCCTTTTTCATGCACGTCCTTAGCCGGACACCCCCAGAGATTGCTCTCTGAGGAGTGACAACCGCTAGGAATCATCGTGCCTTTTTATTGAAAATATGTTACATGCAAGTAAATGGGTGAGGGGTTACGTGTTCTAATGATCAGTTCAATAGGGATTATAGATTTCATTCAGGGTTGGATTAAGTGTGGATCTATTGAGGTTCCACAATAGTTTGTTTGATGTAGTTGGGTCTCCATGGAATGCGATTTCGGGGAAGCGGTTCCAGCAAGCAGAGATAATTATCAGCTGATACAGTGGCAGCCATCTTGTAATTACTGAACACGATGCTGAGAAAAGAAAATCTCAAGTACAGATATTAGTTCTTATGGATCTTAATAAAGAATGATACTTATATAGTTTTATAGGGATCTAAAGCTTAATTTAAGGAATCCTAATATATTTATCTATTTCACTTAGTGAGGGTGGGGGTGTCCTGGGCAAGTTTTGGCCTAATCCTATTTTATGTAAAGAAAAGATTATCTCTAAATTTATGTTAAATGTATCTTAAAGGGCCTTCCAAAGGTCAAGATGATTTCTGCCTAGATGTGACCTCATCACACCTTCTATTGTGGCCATGCTGGAGTGAAGCATTGTAATTAACAGTAGGTGGTCAGAGCAAAGGGGAGCGGTCAGGGGACTTCCTGGAAAATTTTACCATATACTCAGGATGTATAAGAGAGCTATGTAATTCTTTTATAGTAGTACATTGGGGAGTCAGAGGGGGGTTGCTTCCCAGCAAGGCTACCACAGTTTCTAGAGCAAATAGCAAGTGGCCCTGCCGACATGCTAATTTGACCTAAGTTTTATTTCTAGGTCGGGGTGGGGTGGGTACACAGCAACGGCCTTGGTGCTGTCCCAACCTAAGAGGTAGAGGTTAAAAGCTCAAGACAGATCCTGGGGCCCTACCGGGTCGGACTCCTCCAGTCATCTCCCCTGGGGGGTGATTTCTCGCTTTCTGTCTCTCTGTCTCTCTCTGTCTTTCTGGCAAGCGCACGCGCCCTATAGCAAAAACCTCTCAAAAAATAAAGAAGATTACAGCCCATAGGCCAAATAAGATTTGTAAGCTAAGAATGACTTTTAAGTAGTTTACAAAAATCAAAGAAAGAATAATATTTTATGATAGATAAAAATTATTTGGAATTCTAATTTCAGTGTCATTAATAAACTTCTACTATAACATAACCACACTTACTTGCTTCCATGTGGTCTCTGGCTGATTGTTCCTTCAAGAATAGAGAAATGCTTCTCTATACCAATATCGCCACTGAACGTGGGAGAAAAGAAGCTTGATCCAGGCACAGTGGTAAAGATTATGCTTCTTTGGCGAAGACAAGAATTCTCTTCCATGTGCAATAGTCAGATAAAAGAACCACAATTTAAGAGGCCGTTAGGAAATAAGCCATAATATCTATGACTGGTATGTGGAAGAGATGGAGGGACAAAGAATTTAAAACTGAAAAATAGGACTGAATGGTACAAGTAAAAGTTATAAGCAATTGTTTTTGAACATGAATAAAATATCTGATGCTTCTGTAAATGAGGTTATGTATTAAGTGAAAAAATTACCCAGACATAAAAAGCTTTTACAGATGGCAAGTTTATGAAAGCACATCCTAGAATGTAGCAGAAATTATGCATGCTACACTGAGACAAGCATTTATAAATTGAATTCTTACTGGAAAGACTGTTGACCAGTATATTGAGAAAATAGGTCTGAGTGCTTACAGAAAGTTGTATGAAAATAGTCAAACTGGTTGCAGAATTCCTATAGTAGTTGGTAAGAACATGGATATAAATAATGTGCCCTAGTTAGCTATATTTAATTGGTGATACTGACAGTAAGTTTTTTAACTGTCAGAGGGCATGTGTGCTCACCAGAGAGAGGGAAGACACCCCTCATGGGACGTGATCATGTCGCGACCTTCCTCCTCCATTCCTCTGCCTGTCAGGATTTTGGGCACACATGCACATGCATCTGGGATGTCTTCCAAGACACCAGGCCTGGACTTGAGCTGTGGTTCAGCCATGTGGGATCCAGCTTCCCTAATCATTAAGCTATGGGCTGGGCCAGTATTGACAAGAATTTTTATGTGTCAGAAGCTGAAGGGCTCTTATTAAACTCTACAAATGACTTACCTTTGTCGGTAAAAACATTTTGCAAATTATAATGAAATTGGTCAGATCAGTTCATGGGGTTCAATTCCTACAATGGAGAATGTTAATGTGAAAAATTTAAATTAAAAAATGGAACATTTTCCAAGAAACATAAAATACAGGTCTCCTGATTACATCATTTGCCAGGAATTGCTTTATGCCATATAATTTAAAATTTAATATACCATGAATGTGTAGTAATTGACACCATGAGCTGGATAAAATCCCGTAGCTAAAATGCAGACACTCCAGTTTCTTTTTATGAATTGGATGTCTGGTGCCCTGTTGAAGTGCGAGTTCTTTACTGACTCAATGCTGAGAAATATTTCTGAAAACTTTTATGTCATTGAAGAGGAAAATTCTTACTCAGTTGCTAACAGTAAAAAATGGATCAACATTGCCTTCGTCCCTTTCCTCCAACTGTAACAGAAAACCTAAGACTGGGTAATTCGCAAATAGGAGTTTATTTATCTTAGTCTGGAGACTGGAATGTTTAAGAGCATGGTCTTGGCATCAAGCAAGTGTCATCCATGGCAGAAAGCACAGGCAGGCACGTGCGTGTGGCAGAGGATGGGGGCCACCTGAACTTAGCCTTTGGTCAGCTTATTCCCTAACAACTAACTCACTCCTGTGAAAACAGCATTAATTCATCTGTGAGAGCAGAGCCCTCCATGGTCTAATCACCTCTTAAAGATTCCGTGTCTTAATACTGTTCCATTGGGGATTAAGTTTCCCACATGTGAGCTTTGAGTTGCACATTCAGAGCCATCCATAAACAGCCACACAAAGGTGTCATTTGATTTGTTCACTTTAAGTGAAGTGTACCTTTGAGAAACTAATTTGGTAAGAAATAACCTAGCTCATTAGCCTACACTACAATAAATGTCTTGAAATGAAAAACATAGTCTGAACCATGTTACCAAAATGATAGAGTTAAAAATGGAATTCCAAAACGGTTGTCTGATTTTTACACTTTACGCAAATATACTCATATTGCTTAAATTTACCTTTCTAATTTACTATTGAGAGTATAAACAAAGAAGTACAAATTAAAGTTTGCAAACTGCAAAGCAGTGAGTAACAGTGAAATGGAATCATGTCGGAATGCCAGAACACAACTCCTGTCTAGATAACAACCATTGTATTAAAGAAAAGTCTATGTGTGGTAAGTAGCACCAGTGTTGGCAAACTTCAGTTTTGCATATAAATCAAATTATTGTTTCTAGTTGAAGGATTTGTGGCTGAGGTTTTATGTCCTGATACTATCGTTGTGAGTTTACAATGACAAGTCGAGGAATAACAAATTACAAAAGGAATTTCAGTAATGAAATATCCTGTTATTTCAGTGTTATTTTTTATTTTAAAATTTCACATATCTCTAGTGTCATAAACGCCTGATTGTACTGTCACACATTTGCATTACTGTTCGAGAAATATAATGTGATTTTAATTTTTTATGGCATTTAGACTGGTATCCAGTCTACTCCACTTCTTTAGGCCCCCGTAAGCATTAGAACACATGACCTCTATATAGTCTTGTAGCCTTGACCTTTACCTCTATTGTAAAGATTTGATGAATGATTAGAGAATAATTTATAACATATATATAAACAGTCTAAATAGCAGACATTTTTTCACAGTGTCTTCAACACTTTTTAGGGTGAAAAAGGTATCCAGACCAGTGGCTTCAAGGATATTGCTACTGTGAAGATGCACTTTTTTTTTTCCTACATGGATAACAGGGGCTATAAATACGATTTAACTAGATAGCCTTGCTCAGATGTGACACTCATCAGGCTACAAGCACATTATTGATCTGGCCTAGGGGAGAGACCATAATTACCACGAATCAGAGTAGCTTATCTCTTCAAAAGTGAGTTATTTTCTTATACATTGATACATTTGCTTTCCAATTTACATGGTAGTTTCTTGTCAGTTTGAGTAGGTGAGTCAGTTGCTTACCATCCTGACAAAGCGTCTTGCCCTATGAACAATGGACCAGATCCTGCTACTTAGTTGTAACTCAGTGTTCTAAAAATGGTTAGCTCATACCTAGCACTGTCTATCTGAACTTAAGTGTATTTCAGAATAACAGTGAGAGGCTCCTTTGCCAGTCATTTAAAAATAAAATTACTATTACTTTTATTTTGAAAACCCACATAAAATGGATGAACATAGGCCCTGGTGAATAGTTCTGGGGAAATGTTGGGACTATCCAAAGTGTTGGTCAGTGTTAACAGTTCCAGGAATAGATGTTTCTACTGGTGCTATTTAGTTCTGTATTTGTTTGTTTTTGTTTTAATCTAATCCAGGAACTTTTTATCTCGAAAATTTTACCGGGCAGACTGGTCCAATAAGAATTTCCTGTTAATAGAAGTCACATTAGAGTAGGTGAGCCTAGAATGCTCTTAACCAAAGCCTGTAGCGGCTAGCACTTCACTATGTAAGGCAAAGGCAAAGTGATTAATGGCCCAGATAGGCATTTCCACAATAAATTAATTAATGTAGGTTTACATTCTTCTCAGAGGTGGAGACGCATTCTCTGACATGTGCTCATTAATATAAGTTATGAGACAAAGTATTTTAATTGTATACCATGCCACATAACACTTTATAACTTGTACCAAGTCTGTCAATATTGAAGTCAGTAAAAGTTGAGTGACTGTGAAATAAGATTCTGAACAATTAATCTTAAAGTTATAATAGTATGAAGAGTGAATGGAAATTATAGATGTATGTAAGTTTATTATATTAGTCCCATTTTTTTTGGTTTGTATTATGTAAAATAAGTTTTCCTTTTAAAAAAGTCCATCATGATTATATTAAGAAATATCCTTGTATCTGTCTTTAGAAATGTTTAAAATATGCTCTATTGACTTCTTCTAAATGACTGAATTCCCACACATATTTTAAGAAAATTAATTAAGAACGTTTGTTCTAAGAACTAGTGTTGGAAATTGATAGTATATAATAGAGAAACATTTCTGTAAAAAGAAATAACATTTAACTGAGATGTGGATGGAACAAAAATTAGTTTTATTTTTAATCTTTATGATAGTGATAGAGTTGATAAAACTATAAGCATTTGTTGCAAAGAATCTTGAAGTTCATATTTAACTCCCTGCTGATTGTATAACCCTACCTTACATCATCCCAGTCTTGTAGCCTCTCCTTGAACATTGCCAATGACATTGTCTTTATTACTTTACTACTCAGTTCATAAAATTTACCCTCTGTCTGGTTTTAGAGTTGGGTTTTTTTTTTTTTAGATTTTTTTTTTTTAAATCTATGCGCCATACAATATCTACTGTATAGACTATAGTCTCCTTGAGGGCAGAATCAATATTTAAATGCCTAAAACCTTGTTTATAACTCATGTCTTCCCTTTAATAACATTACATGTTATTGAAGTAATCCATTGAGTACCAATTTGAGGGCATTTTACCTGTTGGAAGATTCCTTCCCAAATTGAGTGCTTTATCTTTTGTCAAGTGGTCCTATTCCTTTCTCAGGGATCTCCAACCCCAAGACTAGGACATCATCCTTTAAGGTAGAGCTTAAATACATTTAGTTCCTTAAATAATTTTCCCCTTTCCTAAAAGTTGATCTTAGTTTCTATTTTTTTTTTTCAAAATAACAATGATATTTATTCTACTGATTCTGTGGTTATTTTAATTGTAATTTAAACCACTCTCTGCTCCTAAAATTTCCTAATGATGTCCTTCTTCAAGGGAGGAACTCCTTTCTGGGTAGTGCCATGAGTCACTAATTGACTATAATAAACACCGAGACCACATAAGTGGCAAGGAATAATCATTAACTTCCTGCTGATTGTATAAACCTACCTTACATCATCCCAGTCTTGTAGCCTCTCCTTGAACATTGCCAATGACATTGTCTTTATTACTTTACTACTCAGTTCATAAAATTTACCCTCTGTCTGGTTTTAGAGTTGGGTTTTTTTTTTTTTAGATTTTTTTTTTTTAAATCTATGCGCCATACAATATCTACTGTATAGACTATAGTCTCCTTGAGGGCAGAATCAATATTTAAATGCCTAAAACCTTGTTTATAACTCATGTCTTCCCTTTAATAACATTACATGTTATTGAAGTAATCCATTGAGTACCAATTTGAGGGCATTTTACCTGTTGGAAGATTCCTTCCCAAATTGAGTGCTTTATCTTTTGTCAAGTGGTCCTATTCCTTTCTCAGGGATCTCCAACCCCAAGACTAGGACATCATCCTTTAAGGTAGAGCTTAAATACATTTAGTTCCTTAAATAATTTTCCCCTTTCCTAAAAGTTGATCTTAGTTTCTATTTTTTTTTTCAAAATAACAATGATATTTATTCTACTGATTCTGTGGTTATTTTAATTGTAATTTAAACCACTCTCTGCTCCTAAAATTTCCTAATGATGTCCTTCTTCAAGGGAGGAACTCCTTTCTGGGTAGTGCCATGAGTCACTAATTGACTATAATAAACACCGAGACCACATAAGTGGCAAGGAATAATCATAATTTAGGATCATTTTATGATTACAGCAGCAGTGTCATCATGAGATAGGACATCAGACTGTTCACTTTTTTCTCAGGAACGCTTACTACGATATCTATAAAAGTGATTTTTAAAATTAAAAGCATAGATTATTTTAGAAACACAAAGAATATTACAACATAAAGTTCAACTTCCTTATTTTATAGAAGACTTATTCCAGATCACAGCAAGCTAGTGGAAGTATCAGAAGCAGGGACCAAAACCTTTATTTATAATTATCTCTCTCTAGAGAGTTTTCTCACACTACTCTCTTCTGATGCCAGATTGGTTGTCTTTTCTAATACTACATCTGGTTGCCAGAAGAAAATAAGTGCTTTTGTTAAAAGTTGTTTTGTGACTTATGTAAAGGACTGAAGGTTCTATAGGCAATCTTCAGATAATACCAGGTCATTCTGTCTGTAACAGCTGAGTACTGTAAACTCAATTATTTTTTAGTTACCCCCAAGTTCTTCCTCAGAATTTTTTTAAGAGATATTTTTGCTATAGGGTGCATGCACTTGCCAGAGAGACAAAAAGTGAGAAATCACCCCCCGGGGAATGGCCATGTCACAATCCCTTCTCCTCCATTTTCCTCTTGGGATTTTGGGCACATGCTCACATATGCCCAGTGTTAGCTTTAAGCCTCCAAGTCCAGGACTAAAACCACAGTAGACTATGTGGGAGTCCAGTGATGTAACCATTACACCCTCTACTGGTCCCCCTCAGAAAATTTTAATCCATTAAAATTGAACTGGCCATTTTACACATATGGAAACATAACTGAATAACATTGAACTAGTTGATGAAGTGACCAGTATTTGACCTGATTAGAGGTAAATGATCTTCCATATCAAAGTTGAATTCTTGGTATCATTTATTGTGGAAATGTATATTTTTATAATGGGGAACATATATTTATATTAGTGTATCAATACGTAATGATCCTTCAATACAAATATACACAATGATAATTACCCTTGGATTTCAAAGAATGTGAATCAGACATGAAGTTGATTTTTTAAAAGTGCTCAAATGAACTAGAAAACAAGAATAGGAAGAATTAACTCATAGAGTTTCTTTCTTCTCCATGAGTTGTTAAAAGTTATAATAATAGAAATTTGGGCTCACAGACAAGAATTTTCATGTTCTGACATGTTTAGCCAAATCAAGACGAGTCTATTTATAATTTATTTAGGTCTCTTCTGTCTCCTTCTCTTTCTCTCACTCATTTATTTGTTAAATTATTTCTTCAAGAACGACTGAGTGTCAACCAAGTACCAAACCCCTTACCTGGTACTGGAGGACATAAAGATGACAACGTGGCATTGATTTCTTTCATTTCAAGGTGGTCAGGTGGGAAAGTCCAACATGTAACTGATAATAATGTCATAGCTTCGGGGTAACTCTCAGATGGGGGGAGACTGCATAGTAAGTGATCATTTTTAATTTATATGTTGGGATGATTTCACAAAGTAGATAATACTTGAAGTGGATCTTCTGTGGAAGAGGAGAGGAAGGGAAAGGCATTGGAGAAAGAACATAAATGAAGGCACAGAGCCAAAGGCATAGCTAGCTTGTTGCATTGTTCTAAGTGGTTCAGCTTGACAGGTGCTTAGAACAGAGAGCGGTGGGAGAAGCACGTGGGGACTGTTTGGGAAAGGCCATGTATGAATACTGATGGGTTTGGATTTTATGTAATAAATCCAGTGTTTTATAAAAAAAGGAAAAAGAACTGTACTAAAAAGGTATCATAACAAACATATAAATACACATACTCTTAGCCTTCAAGCTTACAATTCAGTAATGAAGATGAAAAAAATAATTAATACAAGATTTTTTTTTTAATCCCCAGTGCTTGCATGCACTCCCTGAGAGAGACAGAAAGAGAGGGAAAAAGAGAAAGCACCTCCCAGGGGACACAGTCATGTCACAGTCTCTTCTCGATTTCTCCATCCTGTCCAGATTTAGGGTTTGCACTCACCTGTGCTCAGTGTGTTTTTCAAGTTGCCAGAGGTAGAATGTGAACCATGCTTGGCTGTGTGAGATCCAGCTCCCTTAACCACTAGGCTATCAGGCTAGCCCAACAAGATTTTTTAAGTTAGAAAAAGGACTAAAAATGATACAAAATACAGTGGATATTCAGAACTGGAGAAACCGTATATGACTAAGGAGAATCAGGAAAAAAAATTCATGAAAGAGATTGTCACATTTGAACTGGGCCTTGTATTATGAGGATTCATTTATATAGAGAAGGATGAGGAAAGATGATCAAGGTAGAAGAAATAGCCTTAGGAAAAACTCAGAGCTAGGAGTGTGGAAGAGCTTAGACTTCTAAGACTCAGAAGGCAGACTGAAAAGAGGATGAGGAAGTTCTTGATATAAATTTAAATAGTTTGAATTTCATTCAGTAGAGATGTTTGAGGAGGAGACACGTCTGGGACAACAGTAATATTTCAGAAAAGAGATGAAGTTGTGAGTGGGGATCATGACAGTGAGCCTGACAGGAGGAAATGCATAATGGTGATGCTTTCAACAGAGACCCATCAGGGTGCACAGCTCACCGAATGTGGGAGGCAGGGGCCTTGGGAGTGCCGATGGTGGTTTCCAGCTCAATTAACAGTTCCAGAAACAGGAACAGGAAAAGCATGAGGAAATGCCCTTTGGGGAAAAAAGGGTTTCTTAGGACTTGGATCTATGACCCTTATGATCAATAGGGGCAAAAGACAGTTAACAATGCTGGGCTGGAAGCCTTGAAAAGATGATGGACTTTGTGAAGAGCTTTTTTTATTTTTATTTTTTATTTTTTTAAGAGAAGTTTTTGCTATATGGCACCTGTGTTTGTCAGAGAGACAAAGACAGAAAGCGAGAAATCACTACCTCCACCCCAAGGAGGAAGGCCACTCTGCAATCCCTTCTCCTCCATTCTCCTCTTGGGATTTTGGGCAGGTATGCACATGCGCCTGGCATGAGTTTCAAGCTGCAAGGTCCAGAACTCAAACCATGGTTGGCCATTTGGGAGTACAACAACATAACCATTATGCCATCTTCTGGTCCCAATGATGAACTTTTTTTTTTTTTGGAGAGGTTTTTGCTACAGGGTGCGTGCGCTCGCCAGACAGACAGAGAGAGAAAGAGAGACAGAAAGTGAGAAATCACCCCCCAGGGGGGATGGCTATGCTGCAATCCCTTCTCCTCCATTCTCCTCTTGGGATCTTGGGCACGCACGCACACGTGCCCGGCGTGAATTTTAAGCCACTGGGTCCGGGACTCAAACCGCAGTCGACTACATGGGAGTCCAGCGACACAGCCATTACGCTAACTGCTGGTCCCCCCAATGATGAACTTTTAAAAGCTATTGTTAATTCTATGTAATATTTTTCAGACAGAACTGCCAGGATTTTATCAAGCATCTATGAATTCACCAGTGTCTGGTCCTCATTAAATAAGACTGTTAAAGTATAATGAGTCTTCATCACTCAGAATGATAATCTCTCTAGAGGAAGAATGTCTTTGAATGATGTGAGATCAATGAAGTCTAGTGTTATTTTTTTTTTTCAACAAATATTGACCAAGTGCCTGCTATCACAGAACTATTGCTAGTCTCCAAGGATCCACAGATGAACAAAACCATTGTCACAGGACAGTTCAAGCTTGGCGAGGAGACCAATAGGTAAATACTTAACAGCTTTCTAATATGCTGAATGCTATAGCAGATTCATTTAAAAGGTGCTATGGAAACGTGGAAGAGAGTGTGTTTCTAAAAAAAAGAACACACACACACTGACCAGCTACAGTGGCACAGTGGCAACATGATACTCCATGATGCTGAAAAGTGACATGGGAAGGCCCCAGGCTCAAGTCCTGAGGTTTCTCTGTATATACTAGGTACACACACACCTGTGATTTCGGCTGGTTACAGGTGGAGCGGATCATGATGGAAAGATCCTGTCGGGAGTGCCTCTCTCTCTCTCTGTTCTTTCTATCTCATGGAAGAAATAAACCTTTTTAAAATTCCTACATTATCACCATAACTTTTTGTACTTTTCATTTATTTATTTATTTATTTATTCATTCATTTATTTGGAGAGGTTTTTGCTATAGGGCACATGTGCTCGCCAGACAGACAGAGAGAGACAGAGAGACAGAAAGCGAGAAATCATCCCCCAGGGGGGATGGCCACACCACAATCCCTTCTCCTCCATTCTCCTCTCAGGATCCTGGACACGCACACACACTCGCTCGGCCTGAGTTTAAGCCATCGGGTCCGGACGCGAACCACAGTCGACTACATGGGAGTCCAGCGACATAGCCATTACGCTAACTGCTGGTCCCTGTACTTTTCACTTTAAAATGTTTGTTAAGGATCTTCAAAGTTCCAGGCACTGCGTATCACTTGGAATGGAGACTTGAATAAGAAGCAGTCTCCTGAGAGCTGCTACTGATGAATAGACTAGCCTGCTTATCCTAAAGGTGTGACTGAAAACACTGACTCTCGAAGTTCAACCTGGGAAAAGCAACCCGTTGGAACTGGGTACAATATGCCTTCCTTTGACATGGCACTAGTGATTTCCAGGCACCATGCTTGGAGCCACTTCTCCAATTACTGTATGTCTCGTGCCAGTATGGACTGACTGCAATGAGTCCTAAGACAGGTTTAAACCAAGTAAAGCACCCAGATTTATGTCTGACTCTTGCAAAATATAACCAGGTTTATAAGAAAAGTCTTGAGTGCTCATAGGTCTTTAAAATGTTAATGCTGTTGGGACCAGCAGGTGGCATGGTGGTTAAGGTGCTGGGTACTCCCACGTGGCCGACCACAGTTCGAGTCCTGGACCTAGTGGCTTGCTTTCTCACTTTCCCTCTCTCTGTTTCTCTCTGGCCAAAAAGAAATAAATCAATGTTAAAATAAATGAATGAATAAATAAAATTTAAAAATGTTAATGTTGTTATAGTGAGAAGGAAAGAATTGAGAGAAGCCAAAAAATACTTTAAACCACCTCTATAAATATTTAAGAATTTTTTTTTTTTGAGAGGTTTTCACTATAGGGCGCATGCGCTCACCAGACCGACAGAGAGGGACATAGAGACAGAAAGCGAGAAATCACCCCCCGGGGGGGATGTTCACGCTGCAGTCCCTTCTCCTCCATTCTCCTCTTGGGATCTTGGGCACGCATGCACACGCGCCCAGCGTGAGTTTTAAGTCACTGGGTCCGGGATACGAACCGCGGTCGACTACGTGGGAGTCCAGCAACATAGCCATTAGGCTAACTGCTAGTTCCCTATAAATATTTAAGAATTGAGAAACTAAGAATATCTGTGAATTGACTTGCTCTTCACTTTAAGTTAACGTAGTAGTCAAAAAGGCAAGTTTGCATCCCATAAAGTGTATCATGAAGCCTGATTACCATTGTGTAAAGGTATATTTGGCCATACGTGTACAACACAAATGTTCCCATTCAACCATTAGCATAGTTAAAAAACAGCAGTATAAAAATTAACACAATAGTACTTTGAGTTAATAACCAGGATTTATCCCTATTTTATCGGTAAGGAAATACAGTGAGGCCTACAAGCCCAGGTTCATGCTACTAGCAAGTGGCAGAGGCAGAATTGGGGCCAGGGATTGGCTTTTAGAGTTGGAGATGACACAGCTACGTTGTATTGCCACCCAGGTTAAAAGAGGGCACAGTACTCATGTGGATTATTAAAATGACAACATCTTTCAACATGGCCTGTTTATATTAAGAACATGGTTATACTCAGAAATGCATTGGCAAAAAAACCCCACAAAAAACAAAAAACCTGAAAACATCTAATCCTGATTTGAAAGAAATATTTAAATGTATATTATTTAGTATCTGAAAGCCTTAAAATAACTTTTAAGAGTGAGTCAGTTTGTACTGAGTCAAAATATTACTAATAAATAAACCTTATATGTTTTCATCACCAATCATAAAATATAAGGCACACCCTGATTTTTTTTTTTTTATAAATTTTGCAAGAGGGTGCATGTTCTTACCCAAGGAGTAGGGTGTGTGTGTGGCAGGGGAAGTGAGAAAGTACCCCCCCAGGGAGAATGGTCCCTCTGCAGCCCCTTCTCTCTCTCTCCTCCTGGATTTTGGGCCTGCACACACACACTCTTGGCTTGTTTTTCAAGCTACTGGGTCTGGGGCTTAAACTGTAGGTAGTCAGACCTGTAGGATCCAGCCACCATAACCACCACGCCCTCAACTGGCCCTCTGATAATTGTATTTACTTTTCAGGGCATAAGAATTAGAGGCGGTGTGAACTATGTGTTCTTCTGTACCTAGAGTTTAAATATGGAGCAGTATCATTTTGAAGAAACCACTCTATTTTATAATGAGATGACTTCACAAGTAAAGATCTCCAAGAAGATTTTATGTGACTTTAAAAATCAACTCAAATGCTTGGAATTTGGATTGCTGCACTCTTGTTCTTTGGCACATCAAGAGGTAAGACTCACAATTTACAAGTTCTTTTTAAAATATTACATTGATTTTATGCTTTAAAAATTACTATTACTGATGTCATTCTAAGGAAGTATCCTATATTATGGATATATTTGAAATATTGGCTCTGTTTATATTCCTCTTTTAATTATTTTTGTTGAGCTGTCAATATTTTTTTCTTTTTTAGTTTTTGCTATAAGGTTTGAGGACTTGCCAAAGAGATACAGAGAGAGAGAGTGAGAAAGTGAGAAATTGCCCCCACCACAATCCCCTCTCCATCTTCTTCTTGGGATTTTACGCACACATATACATACACCCAGCATATTATCCAGGCCGCCAGGCCCAGTACTTGAGACTTACACCTGTGGGGTCCAGTGCCCTAACCACCATACAGCCTGATTTTGTTTATGTTTTTTTTGTCGTAAAATTATCTAAGGAAAATGCATATTTTTTTCTTAATACCAAATGAATTTGATAAGCTTATGCAGCATGTATTTCCAAAAATATGAAAGTTGCTGGGAAGTCTTGTATTGTGCTCCCAGCTCTGTCACTTACTAGTCTTAAGGACTTGGCCATAATTTATCCATCACCGTGCCGATTCTTCACATTTAAGGTGGATATGTAGCAATGAATGAGATAATACATATACAATTCTCATTTTAGTACCTGATTGCAGTAGATGCTCAACAAATGTCTTAGGAAGGAAGGGAGGGAGGAATTATGTCAATTAGCATGTCCATGTTAAGATATGTTTTTTTGCCCCATTTTGGTCATGGTTTTCTGAGGCGATCAATATTGGCCTATGGTCATTTCTTTTTATACATTAACTCAATATTTGTTGATGTGTGTTCTTTCTAATGTAGGCTCCCTATTCATTACTATGTAGCAGTTATTGGTTTTATCTGTTTTATATCCTGGTTCAATACTGTACCTATAATCACTGAAGATTAGTTGATTTGTCTTAATCAAAATGAAATCAGAGAACTTCAGTGCTGAAAAAAGGTTATGTAGGCAAGCCACCTCCTTCCTTTGTAAGTATCATATAGTTGATTGAGATAGCACAGAGGTAGGGTGATGTCAAGTCTTAGATTCAGTTTGACCATTGATTTGAATCCTGAATCTACTAAGATTTGAATCCTAGGTTTGCTACTTTGTAGTTACTTAACTTTAAACAAGTACTTAACCTTTCTAAATTCCAATTTCTTTATCTGTGAAGCCAGGATAGCAATAAAAATAATCTCATAGGGTTGTGTAAATTAAATAAGATAATTCATGTAAAATGCTAAGCAAGAGGTCTAGTACATATTAATAGTGAGCAATCAGGAACTGTTAGTTCTTGTTTAAGAAGACAGAGAGGTTAATTGTGCAAAGTCTTTTTTTTTTTAGAGGGGTTTTTTTCTTATTGGGTGCGTGTGCTCGCCAGAGAGAGAGAGACAGAGAGACAGAAAGTAAGAAATCACCCCCCAGAGGGGATGGCCATGCCACAATCCCTTCTCCTCTATTCTTCTCTCAGGATCTTGGGCACGCACGCACACGTGCCCGACGTGAGTTTAAGCCACTGGGTCTGGGACTCGAACCTTGTTTGACTACATAGGGGTCCAGCGACATAGCCATTATGCTAACTGCTTGTCCCAATTGTGCAAGGTCTTCTTGCTAGCTAGTGGCAGGGGACGATCACTGACTTTCAGGCTAGTGTTTTTTTTAATTCCTGACCTCCAGTTTCCTTTATGAGATAAATAAGAGAGAGAGAACTATCATTAGTTCTTGTGTGCTTCTGGAACTTGCTCTATTTTTCATATTTTTCTTGCCCCAGGAGATTCCAGGTCAAATGTGGAATCCAGCAGTTAGACTGGTAAGGGCAGAATGAAAAAATGGGCAGTCTCCCCTGATCTGCTATGATGTATATAAAGCCATGAATACAGGTGAAATAACAAAGGCACAAGGAAGGTTCGCGGGCTAAATCCGAGGACACTAACTCATCAAGAAATGAGGGGGACCAGCAGTTGGCGTAATGGCTATGTCATTGGACTCCCATGTAGTCGACCACGGTTCGAGTCCCGGACCCGGTGGCTTAAACTCACGCTGGGTGCGTGCATGTGGTGCCTAAGATCCTGAGAGGAGAATGGAGGAGAAGGGATTGCGATGTGGCCATCCCCCTGGGGGGTGATTTCTCACTTTCTGTCTCTCTGTCTCTGTCTGTCTTTCTGGAAAGCACACACACCCTATAGCAAAAACCTCTCCAAAAGAAAAAAAAGAAAAAAGAAAAAGAAAGAAAGAAATGAGGAAGATGAGGCAGAACTAGCAAAGAAGACGGCCAAGAAACACTCAGCAAAGTAGTAAGAAACCTGAGAGATTATGGCCAATGAGAATAGCATTTTGTGTGCTGCTGGGAATGATCCAGTAGGAAGGAGGAAAAAAGGTGAAATAGGAAAAATGAAAGGGAGTGTTACTGAGCGTTATCCTTCATTAGGTGAGAGGAGGATTCTAATACATAGGAACAGTTGGTCTATGTGGGGAACAAAATGTATCTCTTAAGGCAGAATACATAGGCAGGCAGGCATATGCACATGGGTGGATAGATGTGGTGCTAGAAGCTTATAGGTGTTGTTTTCTCTCTGCTTCTGTTTTCTTACTGAAATAGGGAACAGGTCATTAACCAAAGGATTGGTGAGCAAAGAAGTGGTGGAGATTTGAGTAGAGAGGAGAAGAATGAAATAGCCCAGGAGCCCAGGAGGATGAATGGCCTAGAAAATATGCTATGATGGCTGGGCAGCTTCAGAGTCTACTTTGGTTTAATAACCATGATTCAGAGTGACAGTCAATCATGGTATTTGATTTTTCCCTGGGCACATTCAGCTGCACAGATGCAGGCAGGAAGTGAAGTGCTGGATTTCACCAGAGTTGTAGTTAACTCAGATGAAGTAAGAGCAGCGGGGAAGTCCAAGGTATATGCAAAAGAGTGATGATAATTGGTCATGGGATTTAAATAGGGGAAGGAAGGAATTCAGGAGAGACATGCTGCCAAATAAAATGTTTTTCAAACAAAATATATAATCATATGAAATTTAGATAACACATATATTTCTACTGCACACATCTCTACATTATACAGCTGCCATAAATTAAATAATTGATTCTATATTACATTCATATTATAACCTATGTTGCATTTATCAATTTTGTAACAGAGACCATTTGCATCCAGTACTCTGGCACCTAACATATATGCTAATGGTTTTTAAATTCATTGTCTCCAGCTAAACTTCTCCCTTGAATTATAGTCGAATTTGCAAATGCTTCTGTGACATCTCCACTTAGGTATTTAATTCATATTGAATCAACATGTCCAACACTGAACTTTTGATATCTGTCCTTAAATACGTTCCTCTTCAAGTTTTCCCCATCCCAGTCAGTGGCAGTGCAGGTCTTCAAGGTGATTCAACCGAAAACCTTGACCTCATTTTTGACCATTCTTTCTACCACAGCTCATTGCCAGTTACCCAGCAAATCCTTTTGGACCCTTCTTCAAAATATATTCAGAATCTGACCCTTCTTTTTATTTTAAATTAAAAAAAAAATTGCTATAGGACATATGGGCTTCCCAGAGAAAGACAAAGAAGAGAAAGAGAGAGAGAGAGACAGAGGAAAGTGAGAAAGCAGCCCCCAGGGGGGGGGATGGCCATGCCACAATTCCTTTTCCATGTTCCTCTTGCTATTTTGGTCACACATATACATGCACCCAATGTATTGTTCAAGCCACCGGGTCAGGACTTGAACCAAGTAGGCCACCAAGTCAGAAACTGAACAGTATATTCTGCTGTGTGGGATCTAGCCACCTTAACTACCACACCAGCAGCTGGCCCATAAGCTGACCCTTAATAACCACTTCCACTGCTACCTCCCTAGTATTAATCACCATTGCCTGTTATCTAGTGTATTACAATAGCCTCTTAGCTGACTTTTACCTCTATACTTGCCCTGCTTCAATCTGTTCTCAACACAGAAGCCAACCAGTATCAATCCGTGGCCCTTTTCTGTATAAAACTCTCTGTGGGCTTCCCATCTTGTTTCAAGAGAAAAGCCTAAGTCCTTCCAGTGATCACCAGGTTTCAGCCCTATGGTTACCTCTCTAACATCTGTTTCTTGTCCATCATCCCTTACTCAGACTCCTTGGGGTCATATGCATTCCAAAATCTAGAATTTTTTTTTAGTTTGTTTATTTTTTATTCATGTGCAAGAGAGAGATAGCAAAGCACTCCCAACAAGGTCTGGTCATGCTGTGATCGCCATTTCCCAGAGCTTCCGCTTGTCAGGATGTTGAATATATTCACGCACTCCTGGAGTTTTTCAGGTTAACCTGCTCAGGGATCTGACTCTATTGTTAGCCATGCGCTTTCAAGCCCTGCTGTTCAGTTTCCTGCTCACTGTGCCACAAAAGCTGGGTCCAGAATATTTCTGGATTTTAGAAATATGTTATAGAAAATATTATTTATTTCCCCCAGAAGAATTTGTGTAACACCCCATAAATAGCTACATGAATCTTTCTATAGTAAAATATATGACTATTCACATTAATTAGAGAAAGATTACATATATCTTAGCTTAGTCGTTGCTCCCAAATGAGTTACTGGAAACTTAAAAAAAAAAAAAAAAAGTAAGGAAATCAAAAACCAGCTTCTTTTCCCAGCAACTTTTAGACATTGAAATTGCAGAGTAAGGTGTTGCAGAGCTGTCTGTTCTCCCCCTCCTCTCCTGGACCCAAGTCAGGGTTGGCCTCCTCATAATACCTCAGTCACTATAGACTCCCTGCTTCCTGGAAGAGCCTGGTTTTTTCTTTTCCCTCTGCCTAGAATCCTGTTTCCCCTGGACATCCACATAGCTCACTCCTCACCCCCTCAGGTCTTGATTCAAATACCACATTTTAGTAAGGTCTTCCTTGTCTGTCCTGTTTGAATTCCAGACTTCTCCCCACCTAAACACACATACACCTTCATCACTTCCGTGCTTTGTGTTGCTCTCAGCATCTGTCACTATTTAATTTATGCCAGATTTTGTTTAGTTATCCTCACTCGTTGTCTGTTTCTACACCCTCTACTAGATTATCTATTTCATGAGGGCTAGGATTATTGTTTCCACTGCTGGTCCCCAGAGCTAAAAGTATTTGGTAAATAATAGGTGCTCAAATAAATATTTCTTGAATAAATTATTGTATCTATTTTCCAGCTTTTCTGTATCATTGGAAAAGGGAGCTCACAGTAAGATAGAGAAACAACTAATTTAGGAAGTGGAAATTAGGAAAATATGAACTAATATACCCATTTACATGATTTCTTTACCAATTAAAACTACCTTTATCTAATGTGCAGTATTTCCAATGTCCCTTCAAAAAACTCTTAGGTCAAAGAGGAAATAAAACTTTTCAATTACAGTGTATGTTAAACTATAATAAATCAATGACTGAAGAAAATAGAAGGAGAACAAGTAAAATTGAAGGGATAATTTAATTAATAAAAATAAAAGAAGCTAATGCTTAGAAAAACGAATAAAAACAATAGAATTGATAAATCTATGTGGCAGTTACTTAATAAAACTAATAAAATGAAAATCATTATGGCAAATTTAAATAAACAAAAGGAAATCAAATGTGGAAATTAAAATGACTATTCTTTACATAAGTTCATGTTAAAAGAATGAAATTCTAGATGGAAATCTTACTTCTTATACCAAAATAAATTCCAAATGGGTGAACATTTAAGTTAAAAATCAATGGGAGTATGAAAAGAAAATAGAGTGAAATAGTTTCATAATTGTGGAGTCAGGAAGGCTTTTCTAAACTAGACAGAACCACACAGCCATTAAGAAAAAGATTGATGGTGCCAGCAGGTGGCATGGTGGTTAGGGAACTGGATTCCCACATGGCTGAACACAGCTTGAGTCCTTGACCTGAAAGCTTGCTTTGTCACTTTCTCTCTTTTTCTCTCTCAAAAATACATGCCCTAGGGAACCAGCAGTTGGTGTAATGACTATGTCGCTGGACTCCCACGTAGTCAACCGCGGTTCGCATCCCAGACCCGGTGGCTTAAAACTCACGCTGGGCACGTGTGCATGCGTGCCCAAGATCTCGAGAGGAGAAAGGAGAAGGGATTGTGGTGTGACCATCCCCCCTGGGGGGTGATTTCTCGCTTTCTGTCTCTCTGTCTCTGTCTGTCTGGTGAACTCACACGCCCTATAGCGAAAACCTCTCCCCCCCAAAAAATACATGCCCTACGCGTGTGCGTGTGTGCCCAAGATCCCAAGAGGAGAATGGAGGAGAAGGGACTGTGGTGTGGCCATCCCCCCTGGGGGGTGATTTCTCACTTTCTGTCTCTCTGTCTCTCTCCGTCTGTCTGGTGAGCACATGAGCCCTATAGCAAAAACCTCTCCAAAAAAAAGAAAAAGGCCCTATAGCAAATTAAATAATAATAATAAATAAAATTAAATAAATAATTATTAAAAAAAAGAAAAAGATTGATGACTTTGGTTGTATAAGATGTAGAAACTACTATATGGCAAAAGTAACTGGACGTTTCTCTCTTGCCAATCTTAGTAACTTGTCTTTGTGTTTTTGGTCAATCTGGCTATAATGTGTCTTGGAGAAGATCTTCTTAGGTTGATTTTATTTGGGGTCCTTTGGGTCTGGATCTTTGAATGTCTCTCTTGGTTTGGAAAGTTTTCTTCCAGGATTTCATAGAATAGATTATCAATGCCCTCATTAGTCTCCTCACCTTCTGGGATATCTATTATCTGGATGTTTGGAAGTTTAATGGTTTCTAGTATTTCTCATATTATTCTCATTTTTTTGAGCTATTTTCTCAGTCTTCGTGGTGGATTTTTTTTAGCCCAGTGATTCTGTTTTCTACATCTGAGATTCAATCTTCTGTATGATCTACCTGCTTTTTAATACTTTTTAAGGAAAGTTTTGATTTCCTATATTACAGCCTTCATCTCTAAAAGTTCCATTTGATTCTTTTTAATGGTGTTTATTTCCTCTTTCAGATCATGCAAGAACTTCTTCACCTCCTGGAACTTGTAGGCTCTTTTCTCCTGCATCTTCTAGAATTCATTGTATCTCTTCTCTTGCATTTCAGTTAGCTTTGTCACTATGTACATTCTAAATTCTTTATTAGACATTTCCATGAGTTCCATTGTACTGTCTGTGGATGAAGAGGAGCTATTCTTTTGCCAGGAGGGAGAGGTATTTTCTAGGTTTCTTATACTTCTTGTGCCTCTTTGGTGATTTCTGGTCATCTAATGGGTTATATATTTCTTCCTACTTTCTTAAAGTTCAGTCTGAGCATTCAGAGGTGTACAGGTGGCAGTGAGCTGCAGTCTCTCTGACATTGCATTTTTCTCCCTGTGTGGCAGATTCAGTGGGAATTGAGGAATACTCTGACCATAATAGTATTCAGATGTTTTGCTACAGTTCACTTAGACCTGTCTAGACACTCAGTGTGTGAAGGCCGAACAGCAAAGTAATGAAGGTAAAAGAAAAAGGAGAAGAAAACAGAGAAAGAGAAAAAAACTTTATATATTTTCTTATAAGGGCAAAAAATGAAAACCACATAGTTTACAGTTCCAATGGAGGACTCTTCTTTGGAGGCCTGTGCTTTTTGCCTCTCCTAAATGGTGGTGAGGGGGGAGGAGGGGAGGGGGTGAGAATTAACAAGATAAGGAGGATCTGAGTGCCCAGAAAATACTTTACCTTAAAAAATAAAATAAATTAAAAGGCAGAGAGAGATAGAAATGGATACAGAGGCAATCCTACCACTCTCGAATAGGGTCTTGAGGGTGAAGTCTTAGCAGAAAAATCTTCATTAGTCTTATTCACTGAAACCAATAGTTCTTAGCTCCAATGGAGGAGTCTTCTCTGGAGGCCTGTGCTTTTTGTCTCTCCATCCTAGAATGAGGTCTGGAGGGTGAAGTCTCAGCAGAAAATTTTCATTAGTTTTATTCCCTAATTCACAGCTTCAGTTGAGGAGTCTTCTCTCACTCCCTTTGAATTTTACTTTTTCTCCATTAAAAAATTACAAATTCTGTATAAACACAGTCAATGGCTACATAATATTCCTTAATAGCATAGTTTAAAAACAATAGCATTTTTAAATTGACTGTTTAAGTTATTGGTCACATTTTAATTTATTTATTTTATAACTAACATAGTTTTTTTTTTTTTTTTTTTTTTTTGCCATAGAGTAAGTGTGCTTGGAGAAAGACAGAGAGAGGAAAAGTGAGAAATCACCCCCTGGCGGAGATGACCACATGGCAATCACTTCTCTGTTCTCCTCTAGGGATTCTGGGCACACACACAAAGAAATATTAATCTTTCAATTTTCTCTTACATGACTCTAATACCTTATGGCATTGCTCAGTCTACTGCAAAGCATCTAGTTTTCTCTAAATTTAGCTCTTTCTTTGATTATTTCTTTATGGAAAAAGAGTACATTGGCAAATAACATGAGTAACTTATATAAAACAAGGAATAGTTATAAAAATATTTATAATAAAACTCAAGCTTCTTCCATAGACTAAGTGATGTAGTTGAGAACTTGGAGAAAAAAAGCCACAGAATGTAAAAAGTAACAAAGGCTAGATAGCTTAGGAAAATGGAAGACTGTATTAGAAAGCCACAGTTCAAATATGAAATATCTGGGCCAAATTAGAGTTGTATGTATGTGTGCTTCAAAAGGAAAAACAATGGATTCCATGCAGAAGAAATATTAAGAAGCTGCAATATACTAGGGGTATATTTAAATAGGCACATATTTATAGTTTCAACAAAGAATAAAAGGCAAGCTATAGAACCCAGGGAAACAAAAAAGAGCTCAAGAAAGACATGATTCAAACATAGAGCAAATTAAAATGACACTGATCTTGAACAATTCAAATATTAGAAAAAATAATTCACTTAAATATTCTTCTTTGAAGGGAACAGGTACCTGAACAATTGAAATGCAGAGAAGGAAATGTAATCATAGCATGTTAGTTGGCTCTAAAAACAAAAATATTTATCTAGTTTTAATAATATAAATTCTGTTTATTTGATTTTCAACTTTCTGGAGTCAGCCAATAGACAAAACATGGAAGACTTCATTGTGATTGTAGAACAAAGTCTAAATGTTATCAATCTGGATGGTATGAAAATGAAAGTGCAGCTGATAGACCTTGGAAGATGGAAGGAAGAAAGAGGGAGAGTCAGTACCACTGAAAAGGTGGGGAGTCATGTTCTGAGGAATTTGATGTCTGGGTTGAAAATAGAGAATTACTCTTCAAATTTATAGTGAAAGATAATGAATGAGCTGAAAACAGTGCTATTGCCTCTACTAAAGGAAATGTGAGTCGAGGTGGAGAGCAAGGTGTGCTGGGTTGTTGAACGGTTGTTTCTCGGTTTCAAGTCTGCCCCTCTCACTTGCACTTTTGTGAGACTGGGATGTGGCCAACACTCTCCTAACAGGTGTGAGATGAAATCTCTATGTGGTGTTGACTTGCATGCCTTTAATAATTCGTGATGTTGCACACCGTTTTATATAACTGTTGTCCAATTGTATGTTTTCTTTGTAAAAAAAATATTTATTCAGATCCTTTGCCTATTTTAAATAAGAACTAACTTGAAATGGATTAAAGACTTAAATGTTAGACTTGAAACCACAAAACTCTTAGGAGAAAATGTAGGGGGAAATTTCCCTGACATTAGTCTTGGCAATGAGTTTTGTTTTTGTTTCTGTTTTTGTTTTTATTTTTGTTTTTGTTTTTGAGAGGTTTTTGCTAAAGGGCACATGCGCTCATCAGAAAAACAGAGAGAGACAGAGGAACAGAAAGCAAGAATTTACCACCCCAGGGGGATAGCCACATCGCAATCCCTTCTCCTCCATTCCCCTCTCAGCATCTTGGGCACGCACGCACATAGGTCCAGCGTGGGTTTAAGCCACCAGGTCCGGGACTCGAACCATGCTCAACGACATGGGAGTCCAGCAATGTAGCCATTATGCCATCTGCCAGTCCCGGCGATGAGTTTTTTCATATGACAACAAAAGTAAAAATAAACAAGGGAGACTACTTTAAGCCAAAATGCATTTGCAAAGTAAAGGAAATAATCAAGAAAATGAAAATGCAACCTACAGAACAGAAAATATGTATAAGCTGTATATCTGATAAGGGGTTAATATCCAAATTAAAGAGTGCTTTAACTCTCATAGTGTGAAGCATGGCCTCTATCTGGGTTTGGTTCCTATGTTATTGACACTCTCATCTTTTTGCTGCAGGAAAAGAAGTTTGCTATGAAAGGTTAGGATGCTTTAGAGATGGTTTACCATTGACTAGGATCTTTTCACGAAAGTTGACAAGTTTACCCTGGCCTCCAGAGAAGATAAATACTCGCTTTCTGCTCTATACTATACATAATCCCAAGGTTTATCAGGTAAGCTACCTTCTTGTCTCTCAAAGAGATGATTCTTTGAGAATCTAATGTAGCTATAAGATACAAACAAAATGACATGATAAACCTCATAGACATAGTAATCATTCTATTCTGGTGTAAACTATTGATGTAAAGGCAAATATTTATTTTTAGTTTTAAGCCGAAACTTATATTATGTGCTCTAGTATTTAGATTATTCTGGATATAGAGTTTTATATGAGGTAAATTGGATATTTTGCTTAGTTAATATAATTGAGAGTCTTTTATGTGTACATGTGTAACACTGTGAATAAGCAAGAGTGCCTATTATGTATTGAATTGTATAAATAGGACAGTGTCTTAAATTTATTGATTAGAGACTTGGAACATATAAATAAATACCTTTATTACAGAACAAATATGATCTGTGCTATAAGATGCAAATAAAAGACTCTGGAAACAAAATAAGGAGGAGTTTACCTTCACCATGTGACTGGGTATAGGACCAGGTAAATCATCAGGGAGGACATATAATTGAGGTGTAAGCTGAAAATGGACTGAATTCTCACAAGCAGAGGCAAACAGGAAGATGTCAAAGGAGAAAGCATGAACATTAAGGACAGGATCTGCAGGGTGTGTCTAATGAATGGCATGTTGGGTCAGGCTGGGGTAGTGAGAGAGTCCTTGAACAAGAAGTTAGTTATGGCATAGCTGTGTTGACACAAGTGGGAAGGCACAGCTGCACAATGGCTGAGGCTGCCTGAGAAGCATGACTGTGGTTCCCAGCCCAGCCTAAACAGGCTGTACATGGGCAGTGCTACGTGCCTGTGATCCTAGCTATCTGGAAGGCTAGAGCAGGAAGAATCAAAGTGGTGAGGGCTTATCAAAACTATCTATTTTCCCCCTCTCTTCTTCTCTTCCATGTACACATGTTCTCTATATCTTCACAATGAAAAAAAAAATGAAGTTAGTTGAAAAAGTAGTTTGGGAACAAACCATGTAACTCTTTTCTGTGGAGTTTTTCTTCACTTGTGAGCCATGAGGTCCCACTGAGGACACTGACGAGCTGTTCTGCATTTACTCCAGCTGTAGTGTACTCTTTCACCAGGATCTAGAGGTGACGGTGAGACCATTTAGAACTGTCCTGTCCAACACAGTAGCCACCAGCTGCATGTGACTATTAAAATCACAATGAAATAAAATTAACAATTCAGTTCATCAGCTACACCAAATATATTTTAAGTACTTAGTAGCCAATCAAAGCTAGTGGCTCATTGCCAATATAGAATAATTCCGTCATCACATGAAGTGCTATTTGACAGATTAAATAGAAAAATATAGGGCAGTTTGGATAAGACACCCTGAACCAGAGCAGTGGAAGTATGATCATTTAAAAATGACATGATACCCACTATGAACTGTCCTGAGGCATTATACATGGATGATTAGAAGAACGATGGCCCTCTTATCAGAATAATTTGGGGTAAAAGACCATGAGTCAAAATTTGGATAGATGGAGTCTGGCCAAGCTATTGGAGTTGATGGTCCAGAGCTAGAAAAAAAATATTCAAAAGTCTTTTACTTGAGGGACCAGTGGATGGCATAATGGTTACGTCACTGGACTCCCATGTAGTCAACTGGGTTTGAGTCCCAAACCCAGCACCTTAAAACTCACACAGGGCACGTGTGCATGCATAGCCAAAATCCCAAGAGGAGAATGGAGGAAAAGGGATTGCAGAGTGGCTTTCCCTTCTGGAGGGCGATTTCTTGCTTTCTGTCTCTCTGTCTCTCTGGTGAGCACATGCACCCTGTAGTATAAACCTCTCTTTAAAAACAAAAAATAAACAAACAAACAAAAACTTAGAGTTGAAAAGGAAACCTTAAGATTGCATGAGATCTCAGGAGTGGAGAGACATCTATGAGAGTAGGCCCAGTCTATTTAGGGAACAAGAGAGAGAGGGCCAGAGAAAATCATTTCCAGACTTTGCCTGTATCCTTTGCGGCTTGCTTTCCATTGGTCCTATCATGGGCCTCGCCAGCCAGGGCAGCCTCTTGCTGTGCCTTCACACCATAAAACATGGTCTGCGCTGTAGCTGTCTGTTCACCAGGCACACACTTCCATACATACACACAACTTTTCGCTAAAGTAAGCCACCTCTTCTGTACCTGATAGCTCTATCTAGAGTAAAGAGAAAAGTCCTTTTGGTGAGGATAGAGAAATCTGTAAAGAAATTGTCATCAAAGGTTTGATTCTTGTAACTATCAAAAAGTAAAAAGAGGAATATTACTTTGCTTTAAAAATAAGAGGAATTCTAGTACATGTTACAACATGGATAAATCTTGAAAACATTTTGCTAATAAGCCAGACACAGAAGAACAAATACTATGTGATTTGTTCCCATACATGTTTATATGGTGTGCCTAGAATAAGTAATGAAGGGCTTTTGTTTAAGGGATACAGAATTTTAAGTTGGGATGATGAAAAAGTTGTGAAGGATGTTAGTGATGGTTGTACAACAATGTAATGACAATGCCACTGAACGAGCACTTAAAAATGTTAATAAGATGTTGGGTCATCAGAAAAGTCATGATGTGTTTTTCTATACAAAAATATGTCATGACTTTTCCAATGACCCAATACTTTTTGTTATATATATTTTACCTTATTTTAAAAATTATTTTATTTAATTGTATTTATTTACTTTAATTTGACCAGAGAGGGACAGAGTGAGAGAGATGGAAAGTGAGAAAGCAAACCACCAGGTCCAGGACTCAAACTGCAATTAGCCATATGGGAGTCTAGTGCCCTTAACCACAATGCCACCTGCCAGCCCCAGGCCACATATTTTTTTTTTTTTAATTAAGAGAACCTTTGGTGAATACAAGTGTTTTTGGCCACCTTCTCTGATCTTTTGAATTTTCACGGTTTATCTATCCACTCAGGACTAACTCTACCTCCATGTTTTGGCTCTCAGTACTCATAGACTCATTGATCATTTTATCCTTCTGTGCAACTTAATTCCTGTGGAGCAATCAGTAACACAGAAGATGATAAATATTAGTCTGTATGTGAGGCTGAATCTAAAGCCAATGAAGAGAAAATTTAAAAACCAATTATTTACCTAATAAAAGGATCATAAAAATGATATTTATCATGCCTTCCTCAGTCCCCTCCATTTTGAAAGAATGTAATAAGCTGCACCTATAACTGAATTTTGTATGAATGAACTTCTGATTGTTTCCTATTAAAGTATACTTTAACAATTAAGATATAGAATGAGTCAAGGTGTGTACTTAAAGCTTTCCAGGGTGAGCAGGTGGCGTAGTGGCCTAGGTGCTAGACTACCACATGGTTTAATTCCTAGACTTGGCAGCTTGAAACTTATGCCAGACATGTGTGCGTGCATGCCCAAAATCCTGAGAGGAAAATGGAAGAGAAGGGATTGTGGTGTGGCCATCCCCCCGGGAGGTGATTTCTCACTTTCCGTCTCTCTGTCTTTCACTGTCTCTCTGGCAAGCACACATCCCCTATAGTAGAAGTCTCTCTCTCTCAAAAAAAAAAGCTTTTCCCACACCTGACCCACATGCTGTATAAATTTGACTACCATTATTTTTAAGAAAGAAGAAATAAACTCTACAGTTAACATACTCTTCTCCAAGAGACAAGTTGTCAAAGATAAACACAATGTAGTGGAATAAACTTGGCATTCTGTGAGTCATAGGTGTTCATAGCTACCTTTCTGTGAGAGTGAAACTAACCCACTTCCTCCATGAATCATGGCTTCTTAACCTAGAGTGACTTGTGTAGTCACTGGTGGTGATGCGCATCGTGCATACTACTGGAAGCGTGTATACAGAGCAAACCTATCTAGTAACTATTTCTGACTTACTAGAAATGAGGTTACCCAGAGTAGTCATTAGGATGGACTGACCGAGCACCAATTAGACTCCATGTCTACTCAGAGAACATTAAGGCCAGCTGCAGTGGTACAGCAGTAGCACAACAGTCCATGATGCAGAGGCCACATGGGAAGGTTCTGGGTTTGTGTCCTAAGGTTTCCCTATATATATGTAAGGTGTGTACACATGGGCTGGTAATTCCAGCTGGCTGGGGTTAGGAAAGAATGGTGACATAAAGACTCTATTGGGAGTCTCTCTCTCTCTCTCCAGAAATACATAAACTTTAAAAAGAAAAAAAGAATATTAAGAGAAAGGGCCCTGCTTCACCTTGGCACTTTAATGAACCTTTCTTTTTAATTGCCTGTTCTGAATGATTTTGGCATCATTTTTTATTTCTATCCTTGTGATAGCATAGTCCAAGTTGTCTTTTTTAAAAAATTATTTATTTTTATTCCACATCGTTGTATGGCGTTCCCACTCTTTAGGCTGATGCCCTACTTCAGAGGAGCGTGCCAGATTGAATGTGAAGCAAACAAAAGTATTTTCCCTACCTCTCTACCTCTACTTTATTGAACTCTTCAATGGCTTTTATGAATGCTTGAATCCCACAATACTTGTCAGAGTGCTATTTTGCGGCTTGTATGAAGCCTCACTTCTTCTAATTGTTCTTATGATTGAAAAAAAAGAATAAACAAACTTTTTCTACTTAATTCTTTCTCCAAAATAGGTTTTTCTGCTGTATAATCAAGAATACAGTAGGTGTTTGAGGAGTTCTAGTGGGTTGAAATGAGTGAACATCTGGATTCTTTTAGATACATAAATGGAATAATGTTTATGTACTTGAATTGTATTATTTAGCAAATAAATGCTTCCTAGAAGGCCTGAATACAATTGATTTTATTACCTGGTTCAGCAAATCCTACAGCTGGTTTGGGCCTTATCGGTAAAGAACTCTATGATCAAAACACAACTCAAGAATTTAGTGGTTAAGCATGTAACTCCGAAGACCATGTGGGTTTAAACATCTGCTCTAGGACTCATGACCACAAGACTTTAGGGCAAATTTCTTAACCTCTCTGCAACTTCCTTTCCTAAGCTGTAAAATTAACTTAGGTATTGTATCGTGAGGGTTAATTGAGTTACTTTATAAAGTCCCTAGAACAATGCCCAGTATATAGACTGATAGCTTTCATAATCACTGTGTAAGCAAATTTATGACTCTTAAACTTATTTACTAAAGTATCTTGGAGATACTTTAGCCACCAAGTTATTTGATTAATTGCTTGTTACTTTTAAACATAAGTACCTAGTAACAGGCTCTTTGTTTAAATTTTGTAAGTATCTAAATATGTTGCTTCCTTGTAGAATTTACCATTGTCAAACTTGCTATTTGCTGATTATTCATTTTTCCCCCAATATAATTGCTTATACTTGCATCTTTTAACTTTTAAAAAGAAAATCACTTTAGAGTCATAGTATTCAAAAGTCTATGAGAGTTTGGTTATTAAAACAATCCAGCAAAACACAAGAAATACAAAATAATATTTTACATAATCATATAAAGTTATGTTTAATATGTTATTGTATTTCATGTGATGAGATTCTAACTTCTATTCCTCACTCATAAAGTGGGGTGGAAATCTCTGTTTTTACCATTCTTCAAGTATGCTTCTAAGCATCAGATGAGATAATTATTATGAATCAGAATCACAGCCATGGAGTACAATACAAAATTAAGTTTACCAAAATCCTGATTTAAACTTCCCACCTTGTAAACATTGCTTTAAAAAGCAAATACTTGTATTTCCTTTTCTTATAATTAACTGTATATATTATATTTTATAATACATTGATAACTTTGTGGTACAATATATAGAAGAAACTTTTTTTTAGTAAAAACTTGTTAAAGAAGGTTGATGGGACCAGCAGTTAGCGTAATGGCTATGTCGCTGGACTCCCATGTAGTCAACTGTGGTTCGAGTCCTGGACCCGGTGGCTTAAACTCACGCTGGGAGCGTGTGCGTGCGTGCCCAAGATCCCAAGAGGAGAATGGAGAAGGGATTGCGGCGTGGCTGTCCCCGGTGGGGGGTGATTTCTTGCTTTCTGTCTCTCTGTCTCTCTCTGTCTGTCTGGTGAGCGCACGAGCCCTATAGCAAAAATCTCTCCAAAAAAAAAAAGGTTGATAAAATTTAGTAAAGGCTTTTGAGCAGCTTTAGAATAATTATACTAAATAATAAATAATTTTCGATTATCTACCTTAATCTCTTTCCACTCGATACAGGAGATCAGTGCAGTTAATTATTTAACTATCCAAACCTCACATTTTGGAACAGACAAGATCACCCGGATTAACATCCCCGGATGGAATACAAATGGCAAATGGCAGAGAGACATGTGCAATGTATGTTGTTAACAAGTCCTTCTTTACACGATGTTTAACGTGAAAATTCTTTGCAAGATATTAATGTCCATTCATGAAAGTCCTCTAGTTTGTTTATCTGCATTATCCATGTTCCAGAGCCATAAATAGGTCATCCATTTTTCATTTTTAAAAATTTATTATAAATTGCATAGGTTACATAATCAGAGTGTATTTTTGTATCATTCTTGGGTAAATTCTCACCTTTGGCAAAGGATTGAATGTATGATCAATTTCTCATTTAAGAGAAAAATATTTTAAGTTAGCTTCATTGAATTATTTTGTCTCTTTGGACTCATGATTAATTGACTGCTAAAATTGTAAGTAATTATTTATAAGGGCATTTAGTGCAGATAACATTAGTTTCTTTCTCATGTATGCTTAAATAATTGATATATAGGTAAAAGAGTTAAGGCAGAGCCTAGCATGCTGTATGTTCTCAGTTAATACCTATTAATATTATTTCCTATTATGGAATCAGGTGTTGAGATACTTGGGTTTTCTTTTGCACTTTTTTCATTAATATTTATAATGGATGGTTGTATCAGGTGCTGTTACAAGCAGAAGATATAAACTGCATTAATTTAGACTGGATTAATGGTTCACTGAAATACATCCATGCTGTAAACAATCTTCGTGTTGCTGGTGCTGAGGTGGCTTATTTTATTGATGTTTTAATGGTAAGAAAAGTTGATTTTTAAAAATATGTCTAATTGGTTTTGAATCATAGAATCCAGAATTTTGGACAGTTTTATGTCCTTTTTATTAGATTAGATAAGTACTAACTATGTAAGATAATAAGCATTTGCATAGGTAGCACGAAGAGGAAAGTTTCTTCTTGCAAAAGAGTCTGTGATTTTACAAAGCACCGCTTGGTGGCAGTGTGTCTACACAGGCTCATCATCAAAAAGTGCCCCCCTCCACAAGGATGCTGTTTTGGTCAAGGTATTGGACCGTCTCTGTTTTCATCATATTGCAAATGTATCCTTAATGATTACAAACTCATTCCATCTTATAAACACTATTTGTTTAGCATGTTAGTATATTTTCATGTAAAAAGAGTTCTGTGCCAGTGAATTATTTAGGTCTTTAGGCCAGTGTAGACACAACTGTTTAACCTACATGTTTCCTAAAAGAATAAATTAGACCTTGCCATGTATGCGACATTTGTGAATCTCCAAATGCTCTACCATTATAGAAAGTAATTCCTCATTCTAAAATGCAGTGAAGTAAAATCTAAAGATGCATGACTCAGAATTTTAAAGAAGGTTCATTCATTCATTCCACAAATATTTATTCTGTACTTGCTGTGGGCCAGACACTATTATACACATGTGACTTATGAGAAGGATGGTGTTTCTGCTCTAACAAAGCACCCTCTAGTAGGCAACAGAAGTCAACATATAAATGAACAAAAATATATTAGCTAGGAATACAAGTGGTATGAAAAAAATGCCAAGTATTAAAATGGAGAGTGGCAAAAGTAGAAGCTAATTTGGATAGGCAGTCAGGGAAGGTGATATCTAAGAACTGACCATAGTTAGAAAACAGCCCAGAGAAGGAATCAATGAACCAAATACTTCCTTCTCTCATACCCCCAACTTGTCTATCTTCTCTTACTCTATTCTTAGGTAAGACTGCAGTGTAAGGAGGTCCTTAGAGGAGGTTTTTGTGTATAAAATATGACATGTGATTCAATCCTCTTGAGACAAAAACCAACCATGAAGACTCTACTCAACTCACTGGGGAGATACACATGCATATGCACCTAACATCAGACTACCTAAATACATAAAGCAAGCACTGACAGAACTAAAGGAACCTTCATACTATTTTCCACAATGGCTGTTCTAATTTACATTCCTACCAAAAGTGTACAAAGTTTCCCTTTTTCCACGTCTTTGCCAATATTTGTTATCTTCTATCCTTTTGATAACAGCCATTTTTAACAAGTATGAGGTAGTATTTCATTTTGGTTATGACATGTATTTCCCCAGTTGACCTGTTAACCATTTCTGTGTCTTCTTTTGATAAATGTCTATTCATATCATTCACTCATTTTTTTTAAGCCAGGTTATTTGTTTTCTTGCCACTATTGAATTATTTGAGTTTGTGAATACTCTTTTTTTTTTGGAGAGGTTTTTTCGCTATAGGGCACATGCGTTTGCCAGACAGACAGAGAGAGACATAGAGACAGAAAGCAAGAAATCACCCCCCAGGGGGGATGGTCACACCACAATCCCTTCTCCTCCATTCTCCTCTCGGGGTCTTGGGCATGCACGCACATGTGCCCGGTGTGAGTTTTAAGCCACCGGGTCCAGGACGCGAACTGCGGTCGACTACATGGGAGTCCAGCGACATAGCCATTACACTCACTGCTGGTTCCTGAGTTTGTGAATACTCTTAAGATGCTTCATTTAAGGCCAAATTTACCGGAGACATTTTGTAGTATTGCCTTCACATAGGCAGCAGAGACACAAGCTAGGTGCCTAAGAGTGAAAGCATGAACTGCCTTTGTTAGAGGTGTGGCTGAAAGGTTGGACCTCAGGAAGGAGGAGCACAAGTCACAAATAGAGTCACTGGAACTGTTCTGTTATTCTTAAGGACCACAGGGCTTGCCCTTAGCAGGGGAGACAAGTTCTAATTAAAGATATTCTTCCAGACCCAACTGATACTCTCCTTTAACAGGTAAATAAATAGGTAGGCAAAGGTATCACTTTGTCATTTTACCAGTCCCCCTCTTGTCTGGGAAAGGAAGAACCATATTAGTCATTCCACCTGCTCTTTTAACAAGTACTTGTCCTGTTTTCTTTGAAAATAATCCTATCAGAAAAAATTTGGATATTCCCCTTCTAAAGTACACTTGATTGGCCATAGCGTGGGAGCACATCTGGCTGGGGATGCTGGTTCAAGAATCCCAGGCCTTGGAAGAATAACTGGTAAGTATGCCCTGGAAGTGGGCCTGTACTTGTTTACATGTTTGTTTACACACAATATCAAGTGTATGAACACCAATTAAAGTAGCAGAAGCAAATGTAAGATCTTAAAAAATATGACTCGTTTGAAATAAAACATAAAACATGTTTTCAAGGCCAGCAGGTGAAACAGAGGTAAAGACAGCTGGATCCTATATGGCCAACTGCACAGTGTGAGTCCCTGACTCAGCAGCTTGAAAATCAAGCCAGGCACATACGTGTGCTTGCTCAAAATACTGAGAGGAGAAAGGAGGAGAAGGTATTGCTGTATGGCCATCTTCCCCACCCCGCAGGGGTGGTGATTTCTCAGTTTTCCTCTCTCTCTTTCCAGCAAGTGCACATACTCTTTAGCAAAACTGAAAAAAAGAAAAAGAAAAAAAAAAAGAAAAGGGTTTTCAAAGCATGAGTGTGTGGCCACACATTCAAGGATATTAACTGCAGCATTGTCTGTAGTGGGTAGAAACCATGTGATTGCCTACCTGCATGGGAATGGCTGACTGGATTATAAAATATTCCATGCTTTGGAATTTCATACAGCTAATATCATTAGCTTCCCACCGATTGTCTTGGAAGGTGTCCATTTCACACCTGGACAGCAGCTCACCCAGTGCACACTGACAGTGTTGAACTGGTTTGTTTCAGGTCTATACTCAAGCTTTGCCAGTTGTTAAATTTTGATTACACCAGATACACTGTTAGTCTGAATATGTTTCAGAGTACAGATTTATGTTTTATGTACAGGACCACCATATCCCTTCCCTGCACCGTGCTTTCCAAACCAGTTGAGTAAGACTGATGGAAATCAAAATATCAGCATGTCAGCTCCATTATCAACAAGCCGAGCTGACTTCTCCCTCTCCTGCATGCCCCACTGACAGTCAGCAAGTCCCCTGCTTTTTGCCTCTCCATCTCCTAGTCATTGTCCTCACTCAGACCCTCTTCATCTCTTGCCTGCCTGCATTTTGGCTTTGCCTTCTAGCTGATAGTCTAGCCTGGTCTTTCAGAAGTGCTGCCAGGACCATTTTTCTAAATACAGGCCATGTCACTCCCTCACTCAAAGCTGCTCATGACTCTCCTTTTTGTAAAGCTTCTTGGATCATCATAGAAATTTGCTCTGTTTCATTACGTTTTTCCACATTCTGTGCCTTTGCACATGCAGTCGCTCCTCTTCCTGCACATTCACTGTTCATTTTTCAAGAGTCATCTCAAGTGTTCCTTCTTCAGGCAGAATTACTTCTCTGGGCTCCCTACACCCCTTGATATATGCCTCTCTAGGACCAGCAGGTGCCATGGTGGTCAGGGCAGCTGGATCCTGAATGGCCAACTTCATGTTTCAAGTCCTGGACCCAGTGGCTTGAAGAAACTTGTGAGGTACATGTGAGTGCATGTTGAAAATCCCAAGAGGAGAAATGGAGGAGAAGGGATTGCTGTATGTCTATCCCCCATACGGGATGTTTACTCACTTACTCTTCCCCTCTCTTTCTGTCTCTCTCTGGTGAGCACATGTATCCTCTAGCAAATTAAAAAAAATATATATATATATTTGTATTATATTTGAAAAAACAAATATTATATCAATGGTTTTATGATTATTTATGTGCCAGTTATTTAATTTGCTATAGGATGTGTGTGCTCACCAGAGAGAGAGAGAGAAAGAGAAAGAAGGAACGTGAAAAAATACCCCCCCAAAGGGATGACCATGCTGCTGTCCTTTCTTCTCCATTCTCCTCCCGAGATCTGTGGGCATGCTTGCACACGTACCTGGCATGTTCCTCAAGCCACTGGGTCCAGGACCTGAATCAGGTAGTTGGCCATGTGGGATCCAGCTGACCCGACCACCATGCCACCATGCCACCTGCCCTGGGCCTGTTATCTCTAATAGAAAGTAGGTGCACATTTTCTGTTAAACTGCAGTTTTCTATATACACACGTGCATGCACATACATACCTTCAATTCAAATTTTAATTTAAAATATTTTTTCAAAAATAAATTTAAGAATTCTTAACAGGAATTAAAGTAGTTTATTTCTGTTATCTATTGGTGTGACAGGTTTGTTCCTGTTATATGTCTCCTCTCTGCTCCTAGCTCTCCGCTACAGACTCCATCTCATCCACCCCTACCACCACCGCTCTTATTTAGAATAATGAAAATTGTATTTTTAAATGAAGGCAAAAATTCCCCTTTGCTCTCAGTTTTCAAGCCCAGCAGAAATAAGAAATGAGTTCAACCTTTGAAGATGGAACCTCATGGGACCCTCACAGTCTTACAGATGAGTCAGCCTAAATTAAAGAGAAGAACATAGCCATATACGCATTTAAAATTTATACTGACTTACAACAAATTCAAAGAGATTTTGTTTTCATTAATTCTTGTTCCAAAAAAAGCAGATACTATTGAACTTCAGTTTTTCCCATCTGGTGAGTTATCCTGTTGGGTAATTAGAAAACAACAAAATTTTTAAAAACTCTGTGTCCAAAGAATTTATGTAATTTGGATATTGCAATCTGTATTCCTCTGGGTAGTTAGTTTTTGAGTAATCATGTTCCTTAAGTAATAGAAGAACCAAAACCTTAAAACGGACTTTTTGCTTTATAATAAAACCAGTAAAGAACAAAATTAGTTTAATACACATTAAGGACATGTAAGTTTCTATGTCTATGTAACTACCTATTAAATGGTAGGTAGTTGTCATAAATTATTTTAATTAGGACATTACTTGGCTGATTCAAGTTTTTATTTTATTTTATTTGTTTATTTTTGAGAGGTTTTTTTTTTTTTTTTTTTTTTGCCATAGGGCATGTGCGCTCGCCAGACAGACAGAGAGAGACAGAGAGACAGAAAGCGAGAAATACCCCCAGGGGGGATGGCCACGCCACAATCCCTTCTCCTCCGTTCTCCTCTTGGGATCTTGGGCACACACGCACACATGCCCGGTGTGAGTTTTAAGCCACCGGGTCTGGGACTCAAACCGCAGTCGACTACATGAGAGTCCAGCGACATAGCCATTATGCTAACTGCTGGTCCCATTATTTGTATCTTTAAACAGAACCTATCTTTTTCTTTTTCTGTGGCAAAAATGACTCCTCAATGCTATGCACACGCACACGCACACGCACACACACACACACACGTGCACCCAAATATACACATGAATAAATTCAGATCCCAAATGCTCATGTTCTCATTACATAATAGTTATCTCTCCCTGCTTAAGGTCAATTAATAGGTTGAACCTAGACTTTTCTTCTGATATATCCTAGAGCTACAAATTCAATATTCTCTCTCTTCTACTTTTTGGAAGGGATAGTTTCCTTTTTCTTTTTTTTTTAACCAGATTGTCTTGTCCTTTGATCAATATAGCCTGAGGTATACCTGTATTTGAATGTTTCTCCCCAGGGATCTCAATTTTATCAGAAAATTGTGTGTAATCCATTGTTGCATATTAGCTTCTCCTCCAAAAATACTGTCTTAAAGTTGCAGATTAACTTTGGAATAGATGTTTTTTCTTATTTCTTTTTAAAATATGGATGCTTTGTTCTGATGCATGTTGGTTTAATTGGCCTTTTTGTATAATTTTTTTCTTTCTACCTGAATACCATCCGTCTTTGGGGATTTTACTGTTGTCATTTGTTCACTTTTATTGTGATCTTAGCAAGCTCTTTCACCAGCTCTGCCTGTGAGCACTGAACATATCAATTCCTCTTGTTCTCAGGGAACAAGCACTTGCCTAGCAACAGAGACAGAAAGTGAGATATCACCCTCGGAGGCAGGGTGGGTTGGTGGGTGGAGGCCATGCTGCAGTCCCTTCCCCTCCATTCTCCTCTTGGGATTTTGGGCACACACACGCACACGCACATGCACACGCACTCACACACACACACACACACACACACACACATGTCGACGTGAGTTTTAAGCCACCAGGTCTGGGACTTGAACTGCAGTCAACTTCGTCGGAGTCCAGCGACATAACCCCATTACTCCATCTGCTGGTCCTTTCACATTCCCTTCTAATTAATGGCCTAGTCTCCCTCATTCCTTCAGATCCAAATTTGAGAAAGTTGAGCAATTGCATTTCCTTAGGGTTCATTCCCTCCTTAATCCACTACTGTCTATTTTAATCTCTCTGTCCTACCAAAGCCACTCTTGCCAATCTTCCATGGATTTTTAGTGGAATTCTACAAGATGCTTTAAATCTCTCTTTTTAATTTGCCAGAGGGCATGGGCGCTCTTCCAGAGGGAGACAAAGAAAGAAAGGGGGAGGAAAATTAAGAAAGTGCCCCCATGGGAATGGGCATGTTGCAATCCCTTCTCCATTTTCTTTTCAGAACTTTGAGGACACACGTACATGCACCCAGCATGTGTTTTAAGCTGCCAGGTTTGGGACTTGAACCGTATGTCAGCTATGTGTGACCTTAATGATACCACCAGCTGCTCCTGAAATCTCTATCTTACTTGACCCCTCTGCAAAATTTGACCCAGTTTAAATACTCTGTCTTCTGGGCTTCTGTGATTCTACATCTTGATTGTCTTTTATTTATTTTTCTTTTCTTATTGCCTCTCTCCAGGCTTCTTCCTAAGTTTCTTTTATTTTTTATTAAAAAAAAAAGAATCGTTCATTTTATTTGTTATAATCATTATTTTTTAATTGTTTTAGGGCACATACACTCACCAAAGAGAGACAGAAAGTGAGAAAGCCAGCTGCCAGGTCAGAGATTTGAACTATGGCCAGCCATGTGGGAGTACAACACCTCAACCACCACACCACCTGGTGGACCCCATGAGTTTCTTTTCTTCCACCCTCCCTTAGTGTTGATGCTCTTCAGGGTACCATCCTAGGTGCCCTATTCTCTCCTCATCCTGTAATCTTTCTTTTCGCAGTTATACCAGTCATAAAAATAAAAACAAACACACAAATCCTATGGTTAGCTAAGTGTGTGGAGACAATAAACACCCAACACGGTGGTACAAACATTACTTTCTTGTTCATGTCACATTTCCAGAAGGGTCAGCTCCATCCCTACTCTGTGTTCTCTCCACTCTGGGACCTAGCCACCACATCACAGCAAACAGATTTTGCTAAAATATAATTCTGATCATAAATCTCCCCTCTTTTGTAAACTTACAACCATTTCCCATTGACAATGAGATCGTGTATAAACTCCTTGACATGGCTCAGATGATATCTAGCTTCTGTTTACAATGATATCTTCATCTTTCAACAAATTCTAGAACTCTACACAGCAGCCTTAGCAAACCAGCTCAGGTTTCCCAAATGTGCTGAACTGTCACCCAGAGACCAAGTACTCTCTGGGCATGCTGCCTATCCAGTCTTCACTCTAACTGACTCTTTTGGTCTCTTAGATCTCTGTTTGTATTTCTCTTCTCCAGTAGAAGCAGGCTGTAATCCCTCAAGACTAGGTTACATGTCACTTTTTCTGTGCTTGCATTTCACCTATACTCACCTCTGTCTCTACACTGAGCACACTGGATTGAGGTGCCTTCCCCCAAAATGGAAAGCTCCCTGAGTACAAGGCAAGATCTTACTCCATGTATCAAAATGCTGAGCCTAGTTTCTGGCTCATCATAGTGCTTGATAAATAATTTTCAGATGAAGAAAACAGTGGATATATGAATAGTCATAATATTTTTGAGACTTTCAGGGATATTATTTTATTTTACTTAACATTTGAACATGAGACAAAGTGCTGAGCATCTAGATCCCTGGCATATTAGTTCAGGTTGCCTGTAACGTTAAGTGACCTTGTCAGGCCACTTCACTTTCTGGGCTTCAGGCTTTTCACTTGTATTATGATGAAATTAATCTAAGTGAGCCTTAGCCAAGGACTAGACCTTCTGTTTATTCTTTTAACTATATTGTTTGATAGATTACATTTTTTTTTTTTTGGAGAGGTTTTCGCTATAGGGCGTGTGCACTCATCAGACAGACAGAGAGAGACATAGAGACAGAAAGTGAGAAATCACCCCCCAGGGGGGATGGTCACGCCGCAATCCCTTCTCCTCCATTCTCCTCTCGGGATCTTGGGCACGCATGCACACACGCCCAGCGTGAGTTTTAAGCCACTGGGTCCGGGACGCGAACCACGATCGACTATGTGGGAGTCCAGCGACATAGCCATTACGCTAACTGCTGGTTCCCATAGATTACATTTTGACAAGCCCTTATATTTTTAATTGAAAATTTTTTACCCATGTATTTTATTGTGAAGCTCCTCTGCAATACATAACATACATACATATATATACACATATATATTCATATATGTTTGATTATTAATGTCTGGATGACTCTAAATCCCATCACCTGATCCCATGTGGTCAAGATAGCTAGATGATGAAACTATTGGATCATTCATTTAACTGTTATAGAGGAAAGATATACAGACTGTAACATTGAAAATAACTTGTGTTTATTCTTCATGAGATATAAGTTACAAAGTTTTAACATGTATTCTGAAAGAGTAAGTGTGATTAGAGATACCTATTTGTAATGACTACATTAAAAGGAATACTTAACTGGTGAATCTATAGATACTCAAATGATACGGGTCTTAGAATAGCCATTATAATTTTTCTGACTTCATTAGCTATTTTAGCATTTTCTTAAAATAGCCTTACTTATATGGAGGAATCTGGCATTGCAATATATACTGACCTACATTTATAGACTCATTTTATGTATTAATATCTGTACTTTGTCCTTGGTGGTTCTTGACCAATATACATCATACAGGAAAGGAAGCCCTACCTTTACCATCTATGCTTCCAAAATGCCTATACTATCAAGGTACTCTTCTACAGAACATGTCTTAGTTTAATAGACACTGTGCTTTCTCTAGGGTTGGACCCAGCTGGGCCATTTTTCCACAACTCTCCAAAAGAATTCAGGTTAGACCCCTCTGATGCCAGCTTTGTTGATGTTATCCATACAAATGCAGTTCCCATCTTATTTAAGCTTGGTAAGTTTTTTGTCTTTTCTTTTCTTTTATTTTTTTGGAAGAGGTTTTTGCTATGGTGCGCGTATGCTCACCAGAGAGAGAGTGAGAGAGAGAGAGAGATGGCCATGGCACAATCCCTTCTCCTCCATTCTCCTCTCAAGATCTTGGGGGCACACACGCATATGCGCCCAGTGTGAGTTTAAGCCACCAGGTCCAGGACTCAAACCACAGTTGACTACCTGGGAGTCCAGTGACATAGCATTATGCCAACTGCTAGTCCCAGAGCTTGGTAAGTTTTTAACACAAATGAAACCATATTGAAACTCCATAGAGGAGATTTTGAGTGGTATTTTCCCTATTTTTATCTATTTCAGGTGTTGGAGTGATTAATGCTTGTGGTCACCTTGACTTTTACCCAAATGGAGGGAAATATATGCCAGGATGTGAAGATTTAATTAAATTTTTATTTAAATTTCATTTCAATGATTTTGAGGAAGGTAATTACTTTCTGCTGATACATATTCACTCAGCTTCCTCCTTTGATGGAATCCACATCATTTTGTATATACTATATAAAATATATTTTTACCTAAATCACAATTGCATGTATAAAGCTCTCCCATCAGTGTGAGATCTGCCAAATTAGATATCTTTTCCCTTGTCTTTGTTTTCCTTACCCCTTACACAATATCTAGCATCTTGTAAGCACTGAATACAAACAATAGAAATATGTTTATCCATTCAACAAGCATGTATTGAGTACTTACTATGTACCAGCATTATTCTGGGATCAGTAGTTATAGACATGAATATGAAAGACAAAAATCCCTCCCTGACAGAGCTAGTATTTTAACTTATAGATAGCCAATAGTATAACAAATAAATACTGTGAGGAAAGGAGACAAAGCATGGAAGGGAAGTACGATGTGGTGGTGATGGCAGAAGTGAAGTGCAGGAAGAGTTTTGATAGGTGGCAAGAGAATCCTTACTGTAAAGATGACCTGAAAGAGTTAATTATGTAGATAGATACCTGGGGAGAAGGGATTGCAGGCCAAAGGGGACAGCAAGTGCAAAGGGCCTGCGATGGGAATCTTTTGGCAAGTTCAAGGCAATGAGGCCCCTGTGGCTTGAGTGCAGTAAGAGGAGAGTGATAGCGCATAATGTTAGAGGGAATAGAGTCAGAGAGAGAAACACAGGACCTGTGGATTGTGGTAAAGGCATTAGCTTTTACTCAAGTAAGGTGGGAGCCATGGGAATGTTTAGAGCAGAGACACATGGCTTAATTTATTTTTCACAGACTCACTCTGGATACTATATCACATACTAAACAGGTTGGATTTAACCTTTCATAATAGTTTAAGAACTTTAAGACATTCAGTTACAATGCACCAAAAAGTTATTTGGAAATTTCATTCCTCCCTATCCCTATCTTTTTCCCATCATGTAAATAACGAAACATATCACACATAATATATAATAATACATACTAATGTGTGTATGATTGGAAATATCTGGACAACTCTAAATCCTACCACCTGATCCCATGTAGTCAGGATAGCTCGAAGTTGAAACTGTTGGATCATTCTTTTGACTGTTGTGGAGGAAAGATATACAGACTGTAACATTGAAAATAACTTGTGTTTCTTCACTAGATATAAGTTACTAAGTTTTAACATTTGTCCTGAAAGAGTAAGTGTGATCGGGATAGCTATTTGTAATGACTACTTTAAAAAGGAAAACATAACTGGTGAATCTATAGTTACACAAATGAAATTAAAGCCAATTCTACCTAGTCCAGATAAGCAAAATTCATACACAAAAAAATCCGTTATAAAACATTTCTCTCATTATTTTCCATAATATTAATTATTTATTTATTTTTAGAGAGATTTTTTACTTTACGGTGCATGCGCTCACCAGAGAAACAGAGAGACAGAAAGTGAGCAATCACCCCCTGGGGGCGATGGCCATGAGACAATCCCTTTTTCTCATTCTTCCCTTGGATTTTAGGTATGCAAGCACATGCATCCAGTGTGAGTTTTAAGCCTCCTGGTCCAAGACTTGAACCGCAGTCGAACACATGGTGATGTCACTATTACGCCATCTGCTGGTCCCACCATATTATTATTAGAAGGCTCTAAGACTTTTTTAAAAACTGGTAAATATTATATTTACAATTAAACGAAAACCTTATTTTTGCTCTTCAGGGGTTGCTATTTTTATGACTTAAAATCGTTACTATTAGAATAAAATATAGTTCATACAACTTTTTTTTATATAACTATATTAAGTATATACACAGATCATGCGAAATTCTGTAAAAGATTAATTCAAGTAAAATATACATTTATCATAAGCTACCATTTTGAAACATTATAAAATTTCCCACAACTTTATTGGATTAAAGGCACATTTATTATTCACATTAAATCTTAAGATGAATTTTAAGACTTGAAGATATTCTATATTTATTACTAAGAAACCATTACTTTTAAAATTAATAGTTTCTTATATTTTAAGAAATTATCTTGTCTACATCACAATTAATTGTGAATATAAATCTGTATATACATAGAGGCCTAACATAAGAAAAGTCATTGTTTAAAAGAAAAAAAAGGATGATGCCAGTTATTGATCTCTGTAGACTATAGTACATTTCTAAAATCATGCTGTCTTGGTTATCTATTGCATAGAAAACCACAGTGGCTTAAAAGAAGAATCATTTTATTACTATGGGTCTAAGGGTCAGGAACTGGGAAGAGTTCTGCGAAGAGTTCTAATTCACATGATTGCATCCAGTTGGAGACTGGGTTGAGCTCAGCTGGGCAGGAAGTCCAAAATGACTTTCTCTTTCTAGAGCCTTAGGACCAGCTGTCTTCTGCTGTGGTCTGTTATCCGTCAGGGCCTCTGTCACCAACCAGTTAGCCAGGCTGTCTTAACTTGGCAGGGTTTGAAGAAAGCAAAAGTGGATGCTAGAAGGTCTGTCTTGAGGCCCTAAAAGCTTGTACAACATCAGTTGTTCCTCCATTGGTCAAAGAAAGTCTTGAGATCAGCCCATAACCCGGGGGGAGGGTGAAAAAATAAGCTACATCTCTTGATAGGAGGAATGGTAATATGACATTGCAAAGTTGTAAGGACTTAGGAAGGAGTGATTTGTTGGAGTCCATTATTATAGAATAATGACCTAGTACATACCAGAACCAAAATCTAGTTTCTCAAGGATCAGCTTAGTAAGCTATGTACATCGTTAAAGAATAGTCCATGCCATTCAAAAAAAAAAATGTTGCTATGTAAGATAAAATAAGCATAAGTGACTATTATGCTTTTTACTTCTGAACGCAGAAATGTATTTAGATCTTACTTGCTTTTGCAGAAATCCTAACTATAGGTGGCTATAATGTCATGCTTGACAATGACAAAACTAGTATGTCTTTAGTGCTCTTTGTTAATATCTCTCACCTGTGACATCTTTACATTCAGCACTGGTTAACTTTGCTGGCTATTTTGTGATTGAATAGGAGGGAATATTCAGTCCCTCCTGCAGAAACAGAATTAATTGGCCAAAGGTGGAAGCGTTTTTGTGCCCAAGGATAGTTATGTCAGAGATCCCAGGAAGTGTTGGAGGATATTTGAAGCACAAAGTCAACTACGTTTGCTTTCGTTTATTTACTCTGAATGAATGTCTCTTTAGATCAAACGAGAGTTCTCTGATACAAAGAACACGGTATGTAACATTGATAGATGCTGTGCAATATCCAAGTCTAAACAAGAGGTCCGCCCTCTCCACCCCTAGGCAAGAATCAGTCATTTCTAATTACTCTCTCTAAGAAATGGTTCATGCTATCAATTATCAGTTAACTGCTATCAACTAATTGGCAATTGTTTTCACAGAAGTGTTTTCTGTCCTTGAGTGTAACCATGCCCGAAGTCACCGCTTTTATATCGAAAGCATTCTGAAGCCGGATGCATTTATTGCTTATCCTTGTAGATCCTACAAATCTTTTAAAGCAGTAAGTAAAGCACTTGGCAGTGGAATTTAATTAGAAAATAATTTTTTGAAATGTGACCAGCCAGTTAAAAATTAGGAATTTGAGTATGTGGCCAAAAAAAAAAAAAAAAAGTATCTGCCATTTTGGGAAATAATAGATTGTTTCTGTGCTGGGTATTGAACAGTAGCTAGGATGGCTGGAGGGCTGAAATAACTCAACCATTTGTATTCTGGTTGTTTCAGCTCTTTTGAAGATTATATCCAATTTTGCTTTTTCGGCCATTTGTTATGCAGTAATTAGATGCTACTGTGTAGCAGGCATAGGTCCAGGGCAAAAATTTTTCTTTGTATATATTTTAAATGTCATCTCCAAAGATGCCCAGCGAAGGCTGAACTAATCAATAGCTACAACCAAACATATTATTATTTACTTGGAACATGAAAATTATTTTATTAAAATTTAATTATTCATACAGAGCAAGACTAAGGCACAAATAGCTCACAGGAGTTCCACGCAGATCAATACGTGACAAAATACCAAATCTGATTTTGCTGGAGTCATAAAGCACACCGTGCCAGATCAGAGCTAAGCGTATTTTTCATTTGGTTATCACTATGAAAAGGAGAAAGAAAATCTATTTTGTAGTGGGAAGTGAAAAGATTCTCATTCTCGTGCATTAGAAACCTAATCTCCTGTTTTATCAGAGTAGAAATCGTGGGCTTTCCCGCTGAAGTTTATTGTAAGTACTAACACTTTGAAAGTAAGTGCTGTGTTGGGATGGGAATGAGCATGTCCCTCCTCCTGCAGAGCATGGCAGCTGGGTGCACTCAGGTTGTCTCTTGGTTTCCTGAGCCAGTTGTCCTGGCTCTAGCTTGCCCTGGTGAACTACCATTCTCAGAAAGTCTGATGGTCAAATACTGGCATTTCCCCCATTTCCGCTTTCTCCCCTACCTGTTCCTTCTTCCTACCACAAATGCTACTGAGTGGCCAAGGAATCCTGGCATTATTTACATTACAGAAGGCAGGTGGAAGCAGCCCCTTGGAATCCTTGCATACTTGGAGCTAAGAAAATTGGCCTGCCAGATTGATTGGAGAAACTTTAGGAGCTGACTTGTGCCAAATGGGTGCAAATCTTGATTACGAACTGGAGAACTAGTCAGTTTCCTTGACACGTTTTATTGTACTTTACACAAATAGTTGTTCAATTATATTAGGAGTGCATTTAGTGCCAGGTTATTCATGGTCACAGTTTTGCTCCATCACTTGCTGTTTGTGCAACATTAGACAAGCAGACTTCCCTGCATTTTGGTTCCTGCATCTGTAAAACAGAGAAAATGAAAGCATAAAAATAAGAGAGTTTGCGAGTATTGAGTTAAATATGCATAAAATGCTTAGGACAGTGCCTGGTTCATGATATATAAATATGAGTCCTTATTATTTTGTTAGAAATGTTCAACATTAAAAACAGAGTTTTAGGAGCCAGCTGGACTCCCACATGGCCAACTGCAGTTTGAGTCCTGGACCCAGAGGCTGGAAAATCTTCCTGGGTGTGTGCTCATATGCATGCATGTGCCTCTAAAATCCCAAGAGGAGAGTGGAGGAGGAGGGATTGTGACATGGTCATCCTCCCTGGGGGGTGATTTCTCACTTTCCCACTCTCTGTCTTTCTCCAGCAAGCACACGTACCCAATGGCAAAGCAAAAACAAAAAACAGCTTTAAATGGATGTACGTTACTATAGTCCTAGCCTAAATGTCCATGGTTCATTAAACATCCCAAAACCTAAAAAAACAAATAATCAAGCATCGCTACCCAGACTTTTTTTAAAGTTATTGTTTTGTCAGTTTTGCTTTCAATTTTAATTCATAGATCAAATGAAAGAATTGAAGTACATTATATTCCCTTTAGTTCCTCCCCTATGGCAGAGTTTTAAGTGATTTTGATGATGTGTCATATACATGGTATCATAAGTATCATTTTGGATTTGCTTTGTTCATTAAATATTATATATTTGAGAACTACATTGACTTGTATAGTTCTAAGGTATTTATTTTGTAGGAATCAGCCAGAATTTGTTTATTTATTCATCTACTAATGTGAGTTTTAGTTGTTTATCGTTTTATTAGTAAGGTTTCTGTCATAAACACCTCTTTGTAGGTCTTCTTATATATTTTGAGTGAAAGTTAATTTATGGCATATAACAGAAGTGAAATGATCAAAACATATGTGCATTTTCATCTCTATTAAACACTTCCACTTGGCTGTCTAAAATGTCTATCAATTCTAAAAGAAAAATAAAAATGAAGGCCACAATTTAGATATAGCCTAAGGCCAAACACCTATAACCACATCCAAAAACGTCATCCCTATTTCCCTGAAATAGTAACTAGAATCATAAAAACAAATGCGCAAACTTTAATCTCATCAGCATGACTCAGTGAAATTAAACCAGTTTGCTAAATGGCTCTACTTGCCCTAATAAAGAATGATAATGTGTAGTAGCCAATGACCAAAAAGGTCAAAATATTTCCTTCTTTATGCTTTACAAACTGTGCTCTAACTGTAAATGGTTTGTTTTGTTTTTACCTTTTTCAGTACAGTGTGTCAGTTCAGGAACTGTTCTTTTGTATACACAATAAACTTTAAAAAATTTTAAAATTAGGTTGGATTCTGATTTTGACACAGCTTATATTCCTATCAAAAGCAAATGAGAATTTCTCATGTCTTCACAGTACTTGGTAATGCCAACTGTTTTATTTTTGCAAATATGCTAAGTGTGAAATATCTTGTTTAACTAGTATAGTAAGATTGAGCATCTTTGACAAAGTTATTAACTATTTGAGGTACTGTTAACGGATGGGAAAGTGTTGAGCTGCATTGTGAAATCCTTGGTTCTTTGGGTCCAGATCACTAAAATTAGAGATCTGTCCCTAGGTGCAAAATAAAACTGCAACCTCGAATGAAGTAGGTAGAAAAAAAGATTTAATAGAAAGAAAGGAAAGAAAGTACACCCAAAAAGGTTGTTGGGCGGGCAGGTTGCCAAGTGGCAACCACGTTTGGTACTAGTTAACCGTTATTTTTATTACTAGAGGTCATGAATATTCATTAGTGGGAGGCTCCTTACTCTGCCTATGTTCTTCCTTAACATTTGAATCCATTCATTTTCTCCTGCACCTGCGCACCTTCCTCACAAGTAAAGAATGAGGAATTTGATCACCTAATTGCGCATGGTGCCCAATGCGAGCCAGGTTGTCCCAATTAGACTGCCCAATTAGTCTATTGCCCTAATAGGAATTGGAGCATTGACCAAAAATGCTTGCTTAGATCTTTGATAAGAGAAAATTCTACGAATCATCCCTGTGCACTTCCCTCAGGCCCCAAGGAAGGAAGATGGCAAATTGCTTTGCCATCCACTAACAGTACCTCTTCTGTGGATTTTTCTATTCATGTCATCTACCCACTTTTTAAAAGTAGATTGCTATTCTTTTTCCCTCAGTAGCTTTTGAAAACAATCATAGTGGCCTATTAGACAACTTAGTCATTTTTAATGCATGTACTTTATTTAGATTCTGAAGATTTACTATAAATTAATAATATATAATGAATTTATTAAAGGGCAGCATTTTAAATTATATAACTACCTCTTATTTTCTGTTACCAGGGAAATTGCTCCCATTGTCCCAAAGGAGGTTGCCCAACAATGGGTCATTTTGCTGACAGATTTCACCTCAAAAATATGAAGACTGATAGATCATATTATTTTTTAAACACAGGGTCTCTTTTCCCATTTGCCCGTAAGTATCATGGCTGAGTTTTATTGTAATGATCTAAGGTATTTACCTTTAAAAATTCAACAGTCTTTATTGAGTGTCTAGAAGTGTCTGGCATTGGGCCAGACTGGGGATGCAGTGAAGAATAGTACAGTGAGGTCCTTCGTTGGATTTAGGCCAGTGGAGAAAACAACAAATAAAATCTGTTTCAATCTCAAGTAATAAACTTTGTGTCAGGAGGCATTTGAGGTACCTGCTAGAGCATAAACGTGTAACTTCCACAACCAGGTCAAGGGAGCCTTTTGAGAGGAAGTGATTTCTAAGCTGAACTCTTAAATGATGAGTAAGAAGGAGGAGGAAAGGGGGAGTATTGCAGGCAGAAGGAACTACAGATGCAGGTGCTGGAGGTTAGAGAGAGCAGAAACTGAAAGAATCCCAGGAGGAAGACCAGGAAGAAGAAGAGACCAGGAGGAGAATTATATAAGTTGAGATGGAGAAATAAATTGGGTCAGAAAATGAAGAAAAAAAATCTGTGTTCTGTGTACAGAGTCTGGGCCTTATCTTTGGGTGAATTGAAAGCTATTTGAAGGTATTATGTATTATCAAAAGAACAATTCACTCTTTTTTAGAAGAATTACTCTAGTTGTTACGTGAATTAGCACAAGGGGGACAAGATGGCATTGGGGTGCCTGTTGCAACAGCCTAGGCAGAAAATAGAAAGAAGTGGAGACTTAGAGATGGTTAGAAAGTAGAAGCAAACTGGAACTTGGTGAATGGATTCGAAAGGTGCAGGAAAGGAAGGAGTCAAGGACAATTCTCATTGTGATGATGTGCCACTCCCTGAGGTAGGTAGCACAGAGAGGCTGGTTTGGAGTAAGAGGATGGCCTCAGTTTCTAACATGTGAGGCGTGAGGTGCCTTTAGGGCTTGGGAGTGCTTATGCTCCCTTTAGGCAGTCAGAGATGTGGGTCTTAGCTTCTGGACAAGGATGTGGTCTACAGATAGAAAATCGGGAGGCAGACTAATCCAAGCTGTGAAAGTAGGTAATGAAATTGCTCAAGGACAGTGTATTAGATGAAAAAACGCAGAGAAAGAGGCCTCTTCGGGACAAGCAGTTAGTGTAATAGCTATGTCACTGGACTCCCATGTAGTCGACCGTGGTTCGAGTCCCAGACCCAGTGGCTTAAACTCATGCCGGGTGTGTGTGTGTGTGCATGCCCAAGATCCTGAGAGGAGAATAGAGGAGAAGGGATTGCAGCGTGGCC